GTCAGTCAGTCAGTCAGTCAGTCAGTCAGTCAGTCAGTCAGTCAGTCAGTCAGTCAGTCAGTCAGTCAGTCAGTCAGTCAGTCAGTCAGTCAGTCAGTCAGTCAGTCAGTCAGTCAGTCAGTCAGTCGACAGAGGTCAAAAGGTGGGGCCAGATCACGGATAACAGACGAGCGTTTCCGAAACGTGGTGGTGTGTCATGTGTCCGTGTCATGATAGCCATTTCGCTCGCTTTCTGGAAAGGCGAAAACACCGCACAACGAGGAAATTGGCAAATCCTCTGTTGTTTCCTTGCTGCACCAACCACTTTCTTCACCAATTTTACAAAGGGAATACCCCTCCCTATCGTCCCGTTATTTTCGCTTCCAACATGTAGGTATTTTGTTAGTTTATCGTTCCACTTTTGTTGCAGTTGTCGAACTGGATGCTCCTCCAGTGCGTTGGTACGATTGCACGTAGAATCCTACGGCAGTACATTGAAAATGGACGTTTTGAGTGCAGTTGTGAACGCGACCGGCATCTAACAGGTATGTTGTTTCACTCTGCTGTTCAGCATATCGTACCAGAGCAAGTAAAACACACGAGGTGGCTCGTAACAGAGTCGTTCACTCCTTCTGGAGACGCTTCGAAGCTATCGCACCACTCTAACAATCGCAAGAGTCGCAACCAGAACAAGCAACTCTTTTGGAATCATCGCTCATTGAAACGGTGACTCTCCCTCCCACAAAATCAAAGGCGCCCCTGGGTGACCAGAATATGAAAATGGCTATTGCTCAAGCATCAACTAGTATGGTAAGACCACCTCCCCCGCCAAGACCTCCCGCTGGACTGTCTCGAAAACCGCCACCACCGCCGCCGCGTAGACCTCCTGCAGCAACAACAGCACCACCACCATCACGGCCACCACCCCCGCCAAGTAACAATTCGCGGAAATCTGGAATCCCAAAGCCCCCACAGAGACCGCCGCCGCCACCTCCTCGTCCTACACAACAGCAGTCCCAGAAGCGAAAGGAAGCACCCCAACCGCCAGCCAATCTTTCCGGGAATAAGAGGCCGCGGAATGACAACAATAAAGTCTCCATTCGAGCTCCTGTTGTCATGCGAGACGTTGACGTTTTCGAAAAAAAGGGAAAAGTTGGCGAAGGAACTTACGGCAGCGTTTTTGTAGGCAAGGACAGAAAGTCTGGAGATATCGTTGCCTTGAAACGCATCAACACAGAACAGGAAGAAAATGGATTCCCTATTACTGCCCTTCGAGAAGTCAAGATTCTGAAGGCTTTGGATCACGATAATATTGTGAACTTGAAGGAGATTGTTACCTCAAAGGGTGCGTAACCTCTGTTTTGTTCGTAATCATCTTCGTTGTGTTGAAGTGTTGGTTATCCACGGCGGACTCTCAGTTTCACGCATCTCTTCACTCTCAACGAGAGATGACGTAGTTCAAACCGCCCACATCAAGTGCCTGGAAACTATCACAGATTACTATGTTTTTGGTCGTGTAATCTGTATACTTCCGGGTAACAGTTTGTCAAGCTCCTTCCCTTCTTTTTTTGAATTGTTCGTTTCATCTCCAATCTCGTTTTGTCATGTTTCAGAAAAGATTACTGATATCTTTGCCTCTTGCGTTTTTGTGGTTGTGCTTGGCCTGGCCTTCACAACACAGAGCAAGGTGCACTTCCAAAGGATGTTTACATGGTGTTCGAATATCTGGAGTACGATCTCACCGGAGTTTTGGAAACCCCTGAGATTCGGCTAAATCAAGATCATGTCAAGTCGTGGTCACAGCAGCTCTTGAACGGATGCCACTACATGCACACCAACAAGGTTATCCATCGTGACCTGAAAGCTTCAAACCTTCTTATCAACCGAAAAGGAGAGTTGAAGATTGCCGATTGGGGTCTTGCCCGAAGTTGGAATAGCGAAATGAAACGTTTGACAAACAAGGTAATCACTCTTTGGTACAGACCTCCCGAGCTTCTGTTGGGAGCAATGAATTATACGACCAAAATTGACATGTGGAGTGTTGGTTGCATAATTGCAGAAATGTTCCGTAGGTCCGGATTCTTGAAAGGTAGTAACGAAGCTGCTCAATTGAAGCTCATCTTTGACGTCTGTGGGCACCCGGACAAGCAGAGCTGGCCAACTTTGGAGAAAGAATGCAGGCTTTGGAAGAATTTTGCACCTGGTGCATCAGAGAGGAAACCAAATAAACTTGCAGAAGCTCTCCGTGCGAAACTGCCTCATCCAAAATGGATGACAGATGAAGCTGTCAAACTCGTTTCAAATCTCATGGCCCTCAATCCCCACAACCGGTGGTCCGCTTTGCAGGCTTTGGATGCAGACTATTTTTTCGAGAATCCAATTGTGAAACAAGCAAAGGACCTCCCAATGAGGTTTACCGTGTCTACAGTTCACGAGATGGACTGCCGAAAGAAGTTTGAACAGAAGATGGCAGATCACAAGATGCGCATGCAAGCGCTGGCTGCCAATGGCAGAGGTCCTGCCCCCCCACCCCGAAAGTAGACAACGAAAGAAGCTTTCCGATTATCTCAACAATCCGGAACGATCCCCTATTTATATCCTCTACTACTCCCATGTAACAGTTGCGCAGAAGACGAAGAAGTCTATTCGATATCAAAAATTGAAATAAAAAATAGAAACACGATATTTGTACCGCTACATGACATCTTTCTTTTCGGTTGAAGGCATTGGTTTGAATTGATTAGCACCCCTTTCCTCCGGCAACGGCGCTGTAGTATCGGCTATTGCAGTAAGTCGGCTTACCCCCACTAGCCCTGGCCGCTTCCTTTGCGAAATCCTCATCAAATCTGACACGTTGTAATACGCTTGGATCATATTCGTCGAAGAGAGGTTTCACATTCAGTGCGGCATTTAAGGAAATGCAAGAAGCCACCCACAAGCCAGCCGAAGTCAGTGTAAGGAGCTTGAGTCGATCACATGCTGGTTTGACATCGCTCTGATACAAAAAGTTGTCTCGTTTTATTTCTGGCTCTGTCTTGGGTTCGACATTTCCGTCATACCACCCTTACAATAGTGATTTAGTCGGAACTTTTGCCGTCATGTGGGTACAATATCGTGGATGACAAACTTACCAGTCTCCTCATACTCGATCACTTTACTCTGCAATCGTGCTCCAACATACCCCCATCCACTATACAGTCGAACCAAAACAACAACAATCAAACCAAGTGTGCCAACATTGCTAGCAGCAATCTTCTGTAGAAGGTATCCGTCCTGGGTGAACGTCGCTCCAGCAATGGGGAATCCACTGAAATCATAAGGAGGCATACATCAGACCAGTAGAAATGACATGCGCGCTATAACGAGCTCACTCACACAACTGCGAAGACCACTGCATAAAGAATGGAAAGGCGAACGAGAAGCTGCATTGGAAAATAGTGAGCTGTGAAACAAATCCAAGCCGAAGTGAGATACAGAAACTTACACCTCTCACTCCAACTTCATTACTTCCCCAACCAAACAATGGAGCGTTCACCATATCTTGATATTCATTTACTGGTCGCTGTCCGTCGGGAACGACTTCTGCACCAAAACTGATCTCAGGGAGATAATCCTCCTTTTCGTTGGCAAAAAGTGCTCCTGTTTGCTCGATTCTGCTCCTCACAGCATTTAGAGAAATAGATCTTTGAAATGATTGTGCTGGAGAGCGACATTCTAACAAAACAGCGAGAAAAAGGAAGGACGACCTCATCCTGATGTGGCTCTACTATTTTGACGTTGTTATTCTGAATTCTACCGGTACAGTGTGATACTGTGCCTTTTTTCTTGGCCACGTCATCAACCACAGACCGTCGCCAGTCAGATGAGTCGTTCCTACTTAGTAAGTGCAGTATCATGAGAAAGTCTAACTCAATCTTTCTTTTCTTCATCATCTTCCCGCATATCCCTTGGAACGAAACGACCACTGTCGTCAAACATATCAATGGTTGGCATTCGATCTTCAGCGGCCTGACTGATCAGCGGAATCTTGTTGGGCGTTTCTCCAAGCAAAGAACTTATTGAGCAGTACGCAATTGTGATAAGCAGCGAACCGAAAATGATGTCAGATCCCAATTCTGTCAAGATTGGAGGAAGGGTTGCTCCCGAATTGGCAAGAAGCAATGAATATGCCGCGCCAATCAAACCAGGAAAGAAAAGCGCAATATCGAGGAAAATTGCTGGTTACAGCAAATTAAAAGTTAGTTCACAGGATTCACCTCCTCACATCGACAACAAACTCTGACTAACCTTGTTGCATGTTGAATCTGATCAGCCTGTTGATTCCCGGATTTGACGAAAGCACGTTCAAAACAAGGAACGACACAAAGCCTGAGAAAGGCACTGCTTTGTAGAGTGCATACAGCAGAGCAAGAATTACTACAAACGGGTTGTCAGGGTTCTCCACAATCAAAAACCTGCCGAATTGCAGGCTGTCCATCAAAGGAAACAAGTACGGGAGGATAGAGACGAGTTTGTCTCGAGTTGTTGGTTCTTTGTCATTCAACAGATTCAAACGAACTTCTGCAATCAATGCTTCCTTTGCTTCGTTTTCTGCTGCTTTCTTGGCCTCGAGAGCCTGGAGCTTTTCATCCCGTGCCAAAGCTTCTAGCTTGTTCCGAAATTGCTCAAGCCCGACCTAGTTGGAGAATGATTGGTTCTATCAGCCATAAAATAAGAGAAATAGACAGAATTACATGTTCGTACCATTTCATCACGCTGTAGCTTTCCATCTCCTGAAACATCAAAACCTTTCATGATTTGCTCTACTCGACTATCAGTAAGCTCAATCTTGAGAGACTTTTCAAGGCCTTCCTTGAGCTCTTTGAGTGAGATTTCACCGTCTTGGTTTGTGTCAAACTTGCGGAAGACCAGTTCAGTTGCCGCAGCGAGTTCTTCTGCTCTTTCCGCTTCCAGAGCTGCAGCTTCAGCCCTTAACTTTTGAGCCATTGATTTAAGGCGATCAATTTCATCATCAGTTTCCATCTGTTCTTCTGGGCTTGACTGGGCCATGAATACCGATCCGCGCTCTCTACTGAGCACCACCATAGGAGATAGTCCAAGACGTGAAGTGAAACCTGTAGCTTCATCTGCAATACTGGCGGCAATGAGAACCAGGGCGGTGGAAACATACATCTTGAACTGTTGTTTGATGTTGGTTTGCAAGATCTTTGTCAGCGTCTGCCAGTCTTTATTGGATGACGTCACAGTAAAATCTAATACAGTACTTTTGAAACATGAAAGATACAGTAGTTTGTACATCATACGACAGTAGGATCATTTAATTGCTCTGTTCATCTTGTTCACTATCTGAATCGGAATTTTGCTTCTCTTCCCGGGGTTTGGCAGCGTTGACACTGATGATTCGACCATCAAGCTCGCACCCATCGAGTGCATCGATTGCAGCGTTGCCTGCTTCAGAACCCATTGAAACAAATCCAAATCCACGAGCCCTGTCTGTTTCGATATCCCTTGGAATATAGACATCGAAAACATCCCCGAACTCACTGAAGACTTCTGAAAGTGTTTCGCTGGATGTGTAGAACGCTAGATTTCCGACGTAAAGTTTCAATCTTCCGGGTCGCTCTACCAGTGACGAAGGCCATTAGACAAGAAATCACAGTGACTACATTCACAAAAGACACGTACCTTTTCTCTTCGGAGACTTCTCTCCAGGTGGGAGAGGATGGTTAACAGCGATGGGTCGTCCCATGAACTCTTTACCATCTGCTCCCTCGATCACAGCTTCAACATCTTCGTCTTTTACAGCTATAAAGGCAAAACCTCGAGGGTTACCGTAGTTATCCTGCGGAATGAAAACATCGGTGAGCTGTCCGAATTCTCCAATATATTCGGATAGATGTTCCTTTGTGCATTTGTAAGAGAGATTTCCGATGTAAAGCTTTTTGGAGCCCACGACTGTTTCATATATTAATCGTGACAAGATATGAGATTCTGAAAACATAGTTCGTATAGCCATTTTAAATCTCGACATACCTTCTCTCTTTGTACTTCGTATTTGATCCTTTTCCAAGGAACGGGAGACTCGGAGCTGCCGGCCTTCCATTTCAAATCCGTTGAGGGCATCAACAATCTTTAGAACGTCATCTGCAGATGCAACGTCGACGAAACCAAAGCCCTTGATTCTATCGACTTCGCGATCTTTAGGAAGTTTGATGTATCGAACGTCGGCAATGTCTTCGACCAAAGCCCTGACATCCCTAACAGTTGTAGCTGCATTGATAAAGTAGTTTTGAAAGTGAGTCGGTTGTATTCGCTGAAGAAACAACGAAATGTCAACAGTAGTTGCTTACAGTAGGGCAAATTACCAATGTAGATGGTGTGACGCTCAGCTTTAGCAGCGTCTCCGATCACTTCATTGGACTGCGTCCCTTCGTTTAGGGCATCGCCACTTGATTCGACAACATCAAAAGTGGCAAGTTCCTCAGGTACACTTTCGATAACTGGAGCGATATTTTCAGCGCTTTCTTGACTTAGTCGTTGAGGTATGGAGACTCTTGAAGGACGGAGAACAGGAGTTCTGAGAGTGAAAGAAGTGACACTCACTGCTAGAAAGAAAAACAAAGTAATTCGAACAGTCATGTTTGATTGATTGTGAAAATGCATGCTGAGGGAGGGAGAAGTGATGGGTGAGGGGTACGTACTGACGGATACATCACAGACCGAAACCTAAAGTAGTACCTCAGTTCATTGAGGTCTCAGGTATCATACCGGTACATCATACTCGTACCAGGTACTCTTGAGACCTGAAGTCAGCTGTACTAACTACAGTACTGAGTGCTGTAGCAAGTATTCAAGTACCGGTACACGTGTACCAGGTACCTGGTAGTGCACGTTTACCGGTACACTATAGTACCGGTTCCGGTACGTACCTGATACAGTACCAGTACCAGGTAAATCCTGTACTATTGCAGCATTTGATACACCTGAGTTAAGAAATTTCAAGCAATAAATTGAAAGGGGAATGTAATAATGGATTGCCAAGGCTAGCCCTAAACACATCGGTAATAATTGCTAAAAAATATTTGTATCCTTCAGAACTCCTCAGAGAAGCAAAATCGTTCATGCACCGTTTTCGAATACAACAACCGTGGGCATGACTAGATTGACTTGAAACCGCAGATTCTGTATAGCTGCTCAATTGTAAGCAACTGCAGAGTGGCTTGGGGAGCAAATCGAGCCCAAATGGGGACAAAGCCTCGCCACAGACTGAGAATACCATCGTTTCTCACGGTTTTGACCAAACAATCGACAAATCCATTGTAAATCTTCTTGTCTGTGGGCTGGTTCATGAGGCGGGTTCTCAAGTTGTCTGCTGGGCTCACAGTGCAAGTCATGAAAAAACCTGACAGCGGAAAGTTTAGCTACCCCCAGAAATAACAACGGAAGAGATCCCCAGAACAAGTTACGTACCTGCCACAAAAGCACTGCTGAAAGCGGTTCTGACATCACTGCGGCTCCATCCCGTATACTCAGTAACATACTGAGTTTGGCACACCGAAAGACAGAGAAAGAAAGAAGAAAATCATTAGCACTGTTGCAAGGCTTGGCTACCTGAACTCTCCACGACCGATGTCTTCGTGTGATACAAATATTGAACGTACGCCCTTTGTCAAATCATAAACGCCCATTTTAGTGGCATTCAAAATACATGCTCGCATGACGTTGACTTCCACACCTCTGTAGAAGCCACCAATCCCTTGGTTCTTATACATCTCTCCGACCAACGAAGCAAGAGGGGCAGACTTGCCCTTGTTGGCCTGCGACAAGGTTTTCAACACGTCAAAGGGATTTCCGACCAAAGATCCGACACTTTTAAGTTTCAATAGATAAGCTCTGTGAGAATATCGCCATCCAAGACGCTGGTGCAAATTACACACTTGGCTCACCCTCCGGTTATGGCTCCAGCGACGAACTTCAGATAAAATGGGCTTTCTTTTCCAGCTCCAAGTGCATCACGAACAGGAGCGTCTGATATCAATCGTTAGGAGAGAGAAATATCCAATGAATGAAAAAGCTGTGGTTGAAATTTCGCCAATGAATAAAGTACGTACAAGCGCCCTGAAAAGTATTGTAGCAATCAATCGAACCAGTGAGTGAGGTGTATATCGCATCCAATCCATCCTCTTGAAACACGTGAAACACTTACAAGTTTTATAGATGTGTAGCTCAATTCCCGTCCGAAGGCAAAAAGTAGTCCCTTGTAAAACGGTCGGATCCCACCCTCTGCAAACGTTTCCGCAACAGTTGTACCGATTCCGGCACCAGAAACTTGCATCCTGGTCTTCACAGTTTCGCTGAATGAATGCAAGATTTTTTCGTCATGCAGAAGGCAAGGACACGGCAATAGGGTGAGTATGGGTGTGACAGACGTTCGATGTATTGCGGAGGAGAAGCGACAAGAATCTTAAGGATCGCTCCAATCTCAAATCCACTTACATCGGATGGGTGAAGTTGACTGCAAAGCACGCGGCCATTCCACCCAAGCCCATCGATTCAAACAATCCTGGTTTGCGTTCGAGTGACATTTTCACGTGTTGTTTGCTTTTCCGTTGCTTTTGCCCCCTGTTAATGTCGACACAAAATACTGAAGTATAGTACAGCAGTCAAATTGAAAATGAGAATCTCCCTACCGGTAGATCTTCAAGTTCTATTCTTCGCCTTTTTTCATATTTTATACATGTACCGGTACACCTACCTGGTACCATACTGTACCGGTGGTACTTGTTCAACGTCCGACGTCAATTTGAATCGAACAAGTCTAAATATCAAACTCCGGATGCAACGCAATGCGCAATGCAAGCAATCTGAAATCGCAACGGCTAAAAGTGAACGCAATACCATTTGTTGCAATGCCGTGCCATGACAACCGATGAGGCAAAAATTGCTGAAGCCTGCGCCAAAGACGTAATTAATTGTATCCAATCTTTCATTGATGTCCTCAGAGATGAATTTCCCACTGCTGTGAGGAGTAAACGGCCCACAGTTCCCAACAAATCAATGCTGTACAGTCGGGTGGAGGAGGAAGGATTGGTACGAAGAGTAGAATCAATAATGACCGCGCAAGGAAATAAACTGGGGAGACTGCCTGACGCACATCAAAATAGAAAGGCAACAGGAACTTTGTCATCGATCAAAGACGACGAACGATATCGACTCGTACACAATGTTCTACTCCCGCTCGTTCGTTTGTTGACACAATGTTACAGCATATTGGACAAAATTCTTCCATCGCAACCCAAACCAACAGAAAACACATCCAGAAAAAAGACGAAAAAGCCAGAACCTCCTGTAGGAATGCTGTCAATCCAAAATTACACAGACGTTGCTTGCCTGTTGGAGTTCCTTGTCTTGACCAACATTCTTCCATATTTGGATGCAAATGTGATGATAAGTGCTCAAGATCGGATACAATACCATCTACCGAAGTCATTGGCAGGAAGAATGCCTCGAGCTGCATTGGCATGGAATTCGATGCAGGCCAGCAGCATATCAGCTTCGGAAAAGTCTTTCGAGCTACTTACGACTTCAATTACTATTTCATCTCTGGTAATGCTGGATCGATTCAAACCAATGCTGCTGCCTCGACATCTTTCAGACCTGTACGCTGCAACATTCCAAACTCAACAATGGGAAAAGGTCAGTGATTCGCAAAGCGCCAGCGATATCGCACTTTTGTACCGTACACTGGGGCTGCGACCCACTTCAAGATTGAACCCAGTGTTACAGGCAAAGGCATATCAAACCATGCTTCTTCGAGGCACAAAAGCACCAGCCTGGCTTCGGCAAACCGTGTCTTCGCTCTTATCCCAGCTTGCCTGTACGGATTTGTTTTCCATCATTCAAGTCTTTTGTCCGACGCAAGAAGCAGCCATGGCCAGTCAACGGCTCGGACGTGCTCTGGCCGGAACTCCATTTAAAGAGGCGCTGGTGCAACAAATGCTAGGTCTCATGCAGGGCATATTCCCTACAAATGGAGAAATATCAGGACCTACAGTCTCCATCTTGGAAACTGTTTGGGCTGTACTAAATGAATGGTCGCCGGATACGATACGTTCAGAATTGATCGAGCTTTGGGAGAATGGTATCATGGACACTGGCACTCGGGACGGGCAAACCATTCACGCAACAGTGCGACAAATCGGTGCACTGTTTTCCTTTGTTCCGAATGTTAGCATTTCCTTGAAAGTTCTACATCAGATACCGAAGAGCATCATACTTCCTCAATTAGTTCGGCTGGGATCCATGTCATCAATATTTGCCAGCAACGCCCGAGATGATGCGAAACAAACTCTACACTGGATTTCACAAGCAATATGCAGTGTTACACAATCTACCATGATTGGGAGTGTTGCTGTGTCCGCGGAGGGCTTGATGGCGATTGCATGGGTGAATTCCCTCGAACCTAACAGTTGGGATTTAAGTGGCAATGAGTACTACATACAGGATTTGGAAAGTCAATTTTCATCCATAAAAGGCTTTGAATGTTTGGGCATTCGAAAGTGTGATGCAAGTGTCTTGGATTTAAAGAGAATTATTGAGCATGGAACGAGAAGAGTTGACGTCTTACTTGAGACAACATATGTCGTACACGAGCAAGAAGGGTTTACCAGACTGAAAGGATTGTGTTGCCGCATATTCCATCTTATCCTTGAGCTCTATCTTTCCAAGTCTACAAAGAAGACTCTGTCTGCAATCTCGTCGATGGTACCCATCTTGTCTCTACCCACGCTTTTCGAAAGGTGTTCACCAGAGGATCTTCTCTTCGGTGACTCATCAAATGCTACCTCGTTGTTATTCCTCATTAAGATTTCCCTGATATCTGTTGACCGTAGCCACAAAAGCACCACGATTAATGAAGGAGCTTCAACACGGTCAGAATCGCCACTTGCAGTGGAAAACGGTCTTGCTGAGGGTCTCTTTGAATTTAGAAAAGTTGTGACGATGCATACTGCGAGCCAAACTTCATCGTCGCTTTTATCCGGGCTAGATGACAAGGAAGATTTTGCTTCAAGCCTCCAAATTGCTTTCATAATGCTGAGCCTTCTGGTCTCAGTACTCGAATTTGGATCGACCCTTCGTTCGTTGGATGAAGAAGAGGTACTTCATTCTTTCTCGCCGGTCCTTGAGTCTCTAGCTCAGCTCGATGAAAACTCATCAACCGTTATTCCTTCGTACATTGAAGAATCGAGGGCAGAGATGGCAGACGTTGCGGCGTACGCCTTGTCTCTCATCGCATCACGTTCAGCCCCACGGACTCGTGAAGCTGGACAGTTGGACAGTGAGTCGCCATACGACGTCTTGAAGAGTATCATTATGCAATCAGAAAATGATCTTCGGTCAGCTGAACCGCCGATTAGAGCCAGAGGTATAGTTGAACTCGGTCGTCTTGCGCGTGGGTACCTTGGCATTATTGCAAAGGAAAATTTGTCCAGCGGGAAGAGTTCTCTGATCAATATACTGCAAGACAATGAATCTGTCTCCAGCAATGAATCCACTATCAACTTTGTGGTTGATGAGATCCTGAGGCTTTCAATTGGGGCGGTTGGGGATAAAGAGTCCTATGTCTACCTTGCGGTAAGGTCTAGAATCGAAATGATCACAAAATTGTATCAGGTCTCACTTGCTCTCAAAATGCTGGATTAGGCTGTGCAAACAATTGTTTCTATTGGCGACATGCGCCCAAAAAAGTTGATTCCTCTTGTAGCATCAATAGTTGTGACAGGACGATGGCAATTGGGTTCGGCCGAAACAGATTATCAGTCCATCAATGTTACTGGGGAGGAACGGATCAAATTGGCAGAGGCCCTGATATTTATGATCAAGCGACGACCTGTGGTTGAAGAATACGTTCCTACGTTATTAGCTTTGATGACATTTGGGGACGAACGTGCGAATCACGATTCTGATAAAGCGGAGGATTCACTCTTTCGAAGCGAGACGCACAAGTACTTTATAACCGAAGCGAAACAAGAAGCTGGCGAGTATGAGCCATCACAAAAAGAGTTATGGGAGGAGAAGGATATTCGGTTGAAAACGGGGGGGCCGGTGTTCAAGGCAGAAGAGCTAGATGTCGTGCGTGCCGCCCGAGCATCTGTACTAGCAGCATTGGTTTCCAAGTCACCACCAAGGACTATAGCATTGGACTGCGCATTTCTTGTTCGTCTTATCAACGACACGCTGGTGTTGGAGACTTCTCGCTCTGTGTGCCGAGCCATCGCTACTCTCGCTCTCGCTCTGTACGAGTCCGCTCTCAGAGAGTTGGAAGAAGTACTGGCTGCGCTAGAAACAGCATCAGCACAGATGGTGACCACAAGAGCGTCAATTCCATTCACAGTGGCATTAATATCGTCAGATGAAGAGGTGCTGCATTCAAACCTTGCTGCTAAATCTACTGGCGGTTTGGCGGTAAGTCAGCAGACACTCAACGACCCTGCAACGTCAGCTCGATGCAAAGAAGCCTTGATCTTGCGTCAACAAGCCGAGGAGACTGGACTCTTCTCTTGCGCTCGAATTGCCTTGTCCCAAGACCTTTCAAACAGAGACTACCCACAAATGCTTCGAGTTCTGAAAGCGAATGCGGATATGGGTGTGAAGGTAAAGTTGTCTATAGAATAAGACACTTTCGTAATTTATTCGAAACAGTAGCGAAGCTATCAATGCTCAGGCTTATCTATAAATGATCCTAAGATTTCACTTTGAACGGAAAGCTTGGCTCTCTCTAGAGTGCGGGTTTCTGCCACTATCGTGGAGCAATGACAACAGGACCACTAGTTCTTGTGGGCTTTCTTGTGTCCCCTGCTCTTTGCTTGCAATTCGGAAAGGATACCACCACATGCCATTGCAATACCAGACCACCCGGTCATGGAAAGGGAGTGACCCTTGATGAAAATTGAAAGGAGAACAGAGAAGATCTTTCTTGTTGTGGTTACGGTAGACAAGACAAGTGGATCGAAATTGGCAATGGTGAAAAAGATAAATGATTGGCCGACAGCAGAGCAAATTGCAAACTTGATAATTTTGGATAGGACTTCAGGGTTGGCAAACATAAAAGACATCCCGCTTGTAAGTTCTCCCAATAAACCAGCAATGACAGTAGCGGTCAAGAACATGAAAAAGTTGGTCCAGAACATAAAGTCATACGGCTTTGGCTTTACACCAACTTTTGCAGTCTCTGTCTTCAGTCGCTTTTGGAATCCAGCCGTCACTCCATCCAACACAAGAGACATAACGATGTAGAAAACACCCATCATAGAGTTGCTAGCGCCCCCGCCCTTCTTCTTTCCAAGTGAAACGACAGCAGTACCACCAATAATTGCGGCAACTTGCAAGTACTCTCGCAACTCGTATTGTGCACCACCGAGCAACAAGGACCCGGCCATAACAGGGGCCATCTTTCCACTCTTTGCAAGCGTAGCCACAGGGAAACTAAGTCCATTGGCAAGAGCCAGACTGGTACAGGCCTTTGCAGTTACTTGAGCTGCACCAGAGATTCCAAACATTCGAAGTGGGATTCCCTTCGTGGCTCCGGTAGCCTTCATTCCGACAAATCCGATGATGACATTTGCCAGAGCTTCCAAAACTTGCAAGAACCAAGCTTGCTTGAAATAAGTTCCATCTTCTGCGACATAACGGAAGACGTCTTCCTGCAAAGATCCATAGTACAAGAAGGCTGCATAAATGCCTCCAGCTCCAATGAGGAGTTTGATGCTATCGGGTAGACCTGGCTTATTTGGTTGAAGAGATCCCATTTTTGGTTCTGTGGTGTCAAGGTTTTCAACAGGTCTGTCTTGGTCATTAGAAACATACGCACTCCACAGAGATAAAAGTATTTCCAAACATTGACATGAAGACTTACGGTAGCTTTTCACGATTTACCGAACTTTTGGTTGGAACAGGAGAAGGTTTGTTGTCTAGTGATGAGGAAGAACTTGCTGAGAGTGCTCGTACAACTTGGGTATTGAAGAGTGCGAAAAGCGTGAAGAGAATGAAACGTCGATTGAGCATGAAGATCGAATACGAATATACAGCGTTGTAAGATGTCACGCAGCAAACTATTTCAATTTGCTTTTGTGATTGGTGACAACTTCGACGTTCGCAATGACAAGTGGAAAGTGGACCCAGAACCAGTGGACTTTCAGATTTTTGCAGTATGTGCGTATGTGCGTAACGGCATAATATGTAAAGAATTATTCCCATACATTGCAATATCTCAGTTAGACACTATATCAGTACCGCCGTTTGGATGAACCATACTGTACTGAGTAGTACACATGTGCTGATTCTGACTGTACTCTTAGCGCTATTGCTTATTGGAAATCGTTTTAAACCATTACAGCAGCTATATGTTATATTCTACACGTCAGCCGAAATGAGGAGTGGTTCAGGAATCAGAAAGCCGCAAAGAAGTTCACAGAGAAACGGACCAACTTGCAGAAAATTGTATTTCCATCACTTTGCATATACATGGTATTTTTTCAATTCCTCTTCCGACAAACTAGGAGTCATTTGCGATGACACGGCAAGTAGGTCATCCAGAAGCACTACTGGTGTGCGTTGCTGTTCATCCCATACCCCGAGAACCTCAGATATGTCAACCTTTTTACCACGTGTCATCTCCAGTTGCATTCTCTCTTCCTCTGCTTGAGAACACAGTCTACCAGCGGCCCTTGACAAAGCTCCGGTTGCGATAGCGGACAAGTCAGCACCTGTTAGCCTTGGAGGCATTTGATCGACAACTTTTCGTGCAATCTCAAATGGGTCGCCCTCTAGACTGAGAGTCCGAATTTGAGCAGCAAGAACTCGCGTTCTGTTGTCACTATCAACTGGCACTCCAAGGTATACCAGCCTGTCCAATCTTCCAGGTCGCAAGAGACTAGGATCCAATAGATCAGGTCGGTTGGTAGCACCCATGACAAATATTCTTCCATTTGGCATCGTGCCATCCAGCTCTGAAAACAAGGTTGCAGCCACTCGTTCCATAACTCCACCGCCGTCACCAACTCCACCACGTCGCGGTGCAAGACTATCCAGCTCATCAAAAAACAAAACCGATGCAGCAACTGGAGCATTCTTGACAGCTGCTTCTCGTGCCGAATGAAAAATTGCCCGAACGCTAGCTTCACTTTCGCCCACATAGCTTCCCAGCAGCTCGGGACCCTTCACGGAGAAGAATGGCAAGCCACATTCTGTCGCAACTGCTTTGGCAACAAGTGTCTTTCCAGTTCCAGGTGGACCGTAAAGTAGAATTCCTGATCGGCCTTGATTTCCAGGGAAAAGATGAGGGTGCTTCAAAGGCAACTCGATTGCATCCATGATTTCACGTCGTACATGTGCCAGCCCCCCCACATCTTCCCAACGAACGTTCGATACACTTGCGCTTTGCGACGACTCTTTTCTCTTTCTTTCGTCCAGTACTTTGCAAAAATCCATTAGAGCATTCAGCTTATCGGTTACGTTTGGGACCTGTTGCACCTGTCTGCATAATTGAACTATTTCGTCAGCGCTTCTTCCTTTCAACAACCGACTATCCCAGAAGGAATCCTGCCAATCATTACTGTTCCACAAGGACCTCGCAAATTCCTCATCAGGAGGTTTCAACACAACAGAAGGAAAAACAAGATTCTTCATTAGAGGGCCAACTTTCAGTGGGGAGCAGGTAGTGATCACAATCATTATTGGAGATGTCCTCGATAATCTTCTATCAGAACTGGGCTTGTCAGTTTCCACTGCTTGCATGAATTGTGCCCAGAATCGTTCTTCCTGGTCGTGACGGACATGGTCGTCTTCAGAGGATAACTCCAAGTCGAAATCGTACAAATGCAAAACACATGGTTCAATTCTTTGCGCTCGAATCAATTGAAACGCAGCCTGTAGCCCCGACAATTGCTCTGCCAACGATCCATTCCGTACTGCCTTCCCATGATGATATCCAAATGCAGCTAAGCCTCGGAGATGGAAGCACTGCAATCCCAGTTGGTGTGCTGCTGCTTCGATGCATCGACACGCGCGATGGGTAGCGTCAGTTCCAATAACGTGAATAACTTTCTCCGATGCCTTCAATGCCGATGGCTGGCAAAGCGCTTTGAGCAAGTCTGTCAGGTTTGGATGGGGGAGCGTCACTTGATGGGTCTTTCTGCCCGTATAGAAATCCTCTTGTAACGGCAGGGGAGGGAGTCGGCAGACAGATGACGGAATTGAGCTTCCTTCCAGCTCAATTTTCGAGAAGGGTGATATGATACCGAAGGGTACAGACCGCCCATCCGAGGCATGAATCGCGAGCACTTCATAGTAACATATGCTGAAACAATAATTGCTATAGACCGACAAAATTTTGGACTCTTGTACGAATTCTTTTGATGATGGTAATATCCATGAGAATCCATCGTTCTCTTGGCCCTTCTGTACACTGGGCCACACAGGTTTATGACCAAGTGGTCTAAGAACCACAGAATCTGCCACTGCCAGGTCGTCATCAATGAGCTCAAACCAACATTCGATTGTTATTTCACTGGTGAATTCGTCATCAAATACGAAACCGAGATTTGAAAAGACAATTGGTGAAGCCATCGCCGTTTCCCCGTCATCGTTTTCCTCTTCAAGCATTAATAGTCGAACAATAACACGTTCATCGCGATAACACAAAAACACAAATATTTCTTCTTGGGCACCCATCATCGAAAGGATTTCAAAAGGAACATGGCAAGTAGATGATGTGATGTGACCATATCCATCTTTGCTTTCCAGTAAGGTTAATCTTGCTCCGACTCTTTCAACTAGCTTCTTGTCTCCCTTGCAAAACTTGCTTATTCGAAGCATTCTCTTCTTTGCAATCAAATGCCATCTGTCATCTGTCATCGTTATGCTTTTCAGTTTATAGGGTGGTAGTCCAGTTCCAAAACATCCTGTTTCGCGTTTTGCTAGGAACAAGGGCTATGCAATGGACCTACCGTTACCTTGTACTCTTACTAAAAGGAGGAGTAAGCTTGCTACAAGCATGAGTTCACACAATTTAAAAAATCGAAAAGAAGACCCATCGACATACAGACAGACGAAAAGTATCTCTAAATTACACTTGTGTAGGAAGGTATAGGAAGGTATAATAATAAAAGTAAGACGTTGGTCATATTAATGACCCTCGTCAGAGTAGTTGGTAACGAAGCATTTTATGCCATTTGGCCGTTGGAAGCATTGATGAGTGGTGCTCGTTTGCTGTCGCTCTTCTTCTTGTTGACCATGAAGAAAGCAACGCCACCAACAGCGAGAAGAGCAACCAAGATGAACGCGAAAGTACCGCCACCGCCTCCATTTCTTGAGGACTTGCTCTTCTTGTAGGTGTACAAAGATCCGGAGTTTCCAGAGTCATAAACAGTCTTTCCCTTCCACGACTTGCTCTTTCCTGAATCAGCGTCGAATCCATTGAGAACCTTGCAGACAGCTTGGGCGTCTTCAGCATCTTCGTTGGAAATTTCGTAGCTATACCATTCGTAGTTGGCCATGTTGTCATCTCCGTCTTGGTCCTCATCCTCTTGTTGTTCCTCATTTTGGTCAATGTCACAGTCAGCCATGTTGACGGTGTTATCGAACAAATCGGTACAATATTCGGCGGCTTCAGGAGCTTCACCATTATCCTCTTCTTCTTCTTCGTCCTCGTCTTGGTTCTCCTCGTATGGGTTGGTGTATTCGATTTCGATGTTCTGGCAGTCGAATTGGTTGGTAAAAGTGTATTGAACAATTTCTTGGGACATGGAGTAGTATTGCTTGTCAGAGTAGGTCATGACATCAGAAAAAGATTTGAGTGTGGTGTAAAGCGAACATTCATCATCCATGAACACACCAATCTCAACACCGTCACCCTTGCTGTTACAGATGAGACCAGCGTACAAGGCAGTGTTCTCGTAGACAACATTTTCAAGTTCTTGACATTCGGCAAGTCCGTTAAGCCATTCAATGGCATTATCAATGTCATATTCGTCTTGTTCTTGATCAAGTTTACGTTCACCGTTGTTATCCATGTCAGCGAAGCATTCGTAGGCATCGCATTGGTCGCAGTTGATGTATTCAACATAGCGGTTGTTTGCCAACTTTCGGCGGTTTCGCTTGAGCTTGCGCTCGCCACCTTCGCCCTCCTCTCCTTCACCCTCTTCTCCTTCGCCCTCCTCTCCTTCTTCTTCACCTTCGTCCCCCTCTTCTTCACCTTCATTTTCGGCTGCGTCTTCTTCATCGGCCTCAGCTTGAAGGTTTCCAGAGCAGTAGTCGTAGTTTTCCTCACATCCCTCACAGTAGTTCTTGACTTGGTTGGGGAGATATTCGGCAAGAGCAGTGAAGTAGGTGCCAACATCTGTGATGAAGGTAAGCTTCTCATCGTCAGATAGGTAGTAGCAATTGCTGCTTTCGCAGACAGTAAAGGTAATGTATGATCTTTCGGACTTGACTTGACCGTTGGCAGCGTAGGCGATGATCTCATCATCGAACAAATTATCGTTACCAGTTTCCAAAGAAATACAGGTATCGAATTCAACACTGTAATATCCGTTGATTTCCCACTCTTCTTCTTGGTCAAGCTTACGCTTGGCGGCGGCACTATATGGTGTGGCACCGCGCATCAAGGTTTGCTTGTTGATCTTTCCGCTCTTCGCACGAGCTTGAAGGACCTTAAGATCTCTGTTAGAAATTCCTGTGGCATCTGTAACTCCTAGGAGTGCGGCCATAACTAAGACTGCAAACTTCATGGTAATGGGTCTGCGTAGAAAAACAAACAGTCAGAAAAAGAATTCGGATTGCCACACCCACAGGAAATCTTTTAACCTCAACAAATCTCTCAGCACTTGCACACCCTCGCCTTCATCTGCACCCGAAGCCATCCACAATTGTGTTAACACTACAGTAGATCCAGACTCTTGATTGCAACTCACATCTCGTCTTCTTGTTATGAAGCTTTGCTGTGCAAATTGAATTTGACCTGACTTGCAGTACTTGTCCGCAAGCTTGCACAATGACGGGCTCCCGCGCCCGTCCGTTGGTTTTTCGTGTAGACGCAGTAGTGTCGTACATTGGAGAACGTGGCCCTGCTATCGCCATCTAACGACCAATTACGGCACCTAGCCGTTATCAACAAAACTCATTTAGACTGTATTTAAATAGTGAAAAATCGAAGATCCGAGCGGGCAGGTTTACATAAGGGATAGACAGACTCGCTTATCTTTGGTAAGTTCAAAAAAAACCGGTTCGAACTGTACCGGTACCCTGGTACCTGGTACCGGTACTCGTACTGTACCTTGTTGTACTGTACGTACTGGTATTAATATCTTTTGGAGGAAGTGCAAAACAACCTCAGTGAGAACTTCTTCCAACCATCTGAAAACCGTGCACTCACCGATGACGCAAAGATGAGCATCGACAACACTGATTTGCAAACCAAAAATAATCACTATCACTGTTACCTATTGCGGAGTCAGGATCCAAAGCATCAAAACAAGACATATGTCGGATTCACAGTGAACCCCTGCCGTCGGATTCGACAGCACAATGGTATCCTGAAGCACGGGGGTGCTAGGAAAACCAAGCGAAGTGGTCGTCCTTGGGAATTTGCGGTAGTGGTTCATGGGTTTCCCAGTCAGAAATCTGCGTTGCAATTCGAGTGGGCATGGCAGCACTGTGACAAATCACTCCTTGTCAGAGCTGTTTTGGGAGATGACGCTGCCAAAACTTTGAAACGGAAACGAGGATTGAAGGGGCAACTTTGGATTCTTAAAACGGTTACAACGCTGTGTCCTGATCTCTTTCGGCATAAATCTCTTTCTTTGTTCTTTTTTGACGAGACCACGCGACAAATGTACAATAGCATTGCTGTGGATCATGCATTCACAACGTTTTCGAAAGATTGGACAATACAGACTCGAGTTGTACTTTCTCTCCAGGACATGCCGTTTTGGTCGACTCGAAACAAGGGGGGGGCAAGAAAACAATCAGCAAAGCCTTCAAGAAGCGAAGAAGTTGGGAAAGAAAATAGTGAAGAAAATGTGCAAGACGACACTAGAAAAAAATCCAACGAAGTCCCCACAGCGAACAGCAATTACCCCAAGAAGCACCCGACGTGCACGTATTGTCATCACCCAATTCTTCCACCTGATATCCCAGTTTGTAAAGAGGACAAGGCTAACACGATGCACGATATTTGCAGAGAACTATATTTCGACGAAGCGGAAGAAAGTTCTTTGGAAAACGATCAACTCACACTGGATGAAACAAGCATTCGTCGCGAATATTGTATTCACGGGACTTCGAACGATAAATCCTTCGACGAGGGCCAATGTGATAGGAAATCACCACATTTTTCAAATCAAAGAAAAGTAGACCCGAAGAGAACAATATTATCCACTCGGCATATCTCATGTTGGGATGATACAGACAGTTCAAGTGGTGATAGCTACCCAAGCTTTCAGGTTGACGATACCTCAGACTCTGAGTCTTTCGAATCTCCAAAATCTAACCTTATCGACGACGATGAGAAAAACATCGCATTGTCACGAACCATCGAGTCGCCACTCGTACTATCAAGCCTTGCTACACTTAGTATTTCGCCACAAAACGAGTTTCGAAATGCCAATGAAGACTTCTTGGCCGCCCACCACAGTAGAATGAAAACGCAAGACGACCATTGTATCGTGTATATTGATATCGACGCAGATGAGTCCATACCCTCTGCAGGAAAACAAATCAGCTCCTCAACGCCTCAACGCCAGGTAGAGATTGTGGACTTGTGTTCTCCTTGATTGATTCGATGGCCGCTATCGCAAACCAGTGCAGCGACCAAAATACGAAAACATTTTTTAGTTTTATCATTTTAAAGTGACATATCATCTTCTTCCTGTACATCCGAAAGCTGTTGTTGCAGAGGCGTCTCTTCTATTGGCATCTTTGATACAGAACTCGTTCTTCGGAGATCGACGTCAGCAAGAATGCTCGTACACGCTAGCCAGCCTTCCATCGTATCGGCATCCCCCATTGCTGCGACAAGAGAGCTAAAGAGGCCATGGAATTCGATTGGAGTGAGATCCAAGAGCGCATCAGCACCCCTAGTAACTAGACCACGTTCCCCCACGAAGTATAGAACCTCGAAAGCAACCGAGCGAAAAGCTTTTCTTGCGCGCCTCGGTATCGACCATTTGTCCGCGATAGATTTCAATCGATCGATAGTGACCGAAAGGGAATTATCTTGAATGTCGATCGAATTTTGAAAACCAGCGACCTCCATTGCAATGATTTCAGCAAACCTTTCTTGCACCAGCACTCTCAATCCAAACGATGGCTTTCGCGTTGTGGACCTCCGCAGGCCCACAACCCCATGGCTAGTAGTGATTGTTTGCGTGGATCGGATGGATATCAACTGATTCTTCTCTGAGGTCTTGCCCACTCCTGCGTCGACGTTGCTTCTCACGACACGAACTATGTCTCGCATGGATTGCATTTTCCGGCTCCCCAGTTCCTCCTCTTCTACGGTACTATTCTCCACGATCCGCTGGCGGCGAAGATTTCCCCTGTCAGCGAGAGATGAGCCAAACAAACTTTTTGTATCCGAGTCGCCAGCTTCGCTACTTGTCTCATCCCTAGATGGCAGTACATCAAATCCTTGTCGCTTATTCTTCTTCTTCAGCCTCTCGTTTTTCTCGGGCGTTTTTGAAGAGTTGCTCTCAGAATTTTCCAAGGGCTTTTCATTTTGCCGTATGGTAATGGCCTCAATTTCGATTTCTTGTCCCCGGTACGCTCGTTTGAGAACTTCTGCCCGCTCCTGTTCAGCCTTTTCTTTGGCTTGTTGCAATCTACGTCTCATTCGACGCTCGATTCTTTGGATATTTCGATCACTGAGACGAATGTAGAAAGATGCCACACTTCCCAGAAACAATGACATGAAGCCAATACTGAATGGCAGCCACAAAATGCAGAACCATATACTGATCTCTTTCGTAGGATAGTAGTCACCAAAACCAACGGTTGTCAGCGATACAACTGCAAAATAAACTGATTCTAAAAACGTCCATCCCTCCAGCGGTCCTACAACTGACGCACCCAAAGCGATCAGACCAGCAAATGGAAAAATAACTGATACGCCTCTGCCGATCTCATTCTCTTGAAAGAATATCTTTGCACGATCAGTAAAACGAAATAACCGGTCCATACAACTGGAAAGATTGTCTTGATGAAAGGAAATAATTTCATCTGGATCTGGTTCAGCGCTGGCATTATTCTGTTCAGCGTTTCTTGCTGACGTTGGGCTGCGAGCAATGATATCGCCATGACGCGTCTTGTCCCTTCGATGTTGTGCTCTCGAGGCCTCCAGCGCAATGCACATGTACACCTGAGCTACCATGATGGTCAGGGCAGCGATTCCAATAAGCAGATAGAAAATTGTATAAGCCTGGAACGCTGGGCCAGTTGGGATCTCATGGTTTCCATACCCAACAGTTGTTATGGAGTAAATTGAAAAAAGGAGAGCATCTGCAATAGTCCAATCCGCCTGGCGTATAAAAAATGCAGTCCCCAGGAGTAGAAAGGAAATCATGAAGAACACTGATATCAATGCAGACTGTCGAACACTAGCGTATCGTGCATTGTATCCAATCTCTCGTTCTTCCAAGGCACGTTCATACTCTTCATCTAGCCGTTGACAAAGCTCCACATCTTCCGACGAGAAGAATGCCGTGTCTTCCAGCTTTTCTTTAGGAGACGAGATTTTCCTTTGACTTTTCCTCTTTTGCAAAATCTCTCGTTTTGTCGACTCTGCATCTGGATCCGGCTGTGCATCTGATTCTCGTCGAACCTTGTCCATGAAGACTTCCATTGTAAAGAGTGAAGAAAAGGTCTAATCCCAGACGATGAAGTTGATTCCGTTGCTCAAGCTATGCTCGGCTTCTTTTTCGGTAAATAAATGATTCTAAGTCAGCAACCAGCCGTTAGGAAGTGCCACATTGAGAGTACCCAAGATTGCTGCTTGTTGTTGACACTCTGTTGTTTCCACATGAAGACCGTTGAAAGTTAGTCGGAGATTCTTCTTTACATATGTGGCAGTACTGCGTCTACGTAGAAATGTGGAAGAGATGTGCCTTTTTAAAATAAAATAAAACTAATCTGTATTGGTGTACAATAGTGTGACATTTTCATAGTGTGACATTCTCTGAAGAAGTGCAGAAACAAATCACAGATCACCCGCTCTTCACCCTAATGAATGTTTCATTTATCAATTTAGCATAGGCCTGTAATCTTTCAAATACAACTGAGTTGTTCAAACTCTTTTCTATTGTCACAACATGTAACTTCGTGGTCCTGCCTCTAAGTCTTTTTGCTTCATATACAATCATTCCTTCAGTTGCGTGGCCCGTATCATGTCATCAGCCAAAGCTTGATAGCATTTCACCCATGCAGCACGTACTGGTTCTGTGAACTTGTCGCCTAGAAGCTCCGAGAGGGCAGACAACAAGGCCTGGCCCATTGGTGGATAAAATTCCGGCAGGACCCCAAAACGTTCATGCTGCTTTCCAAGCTCGAGAAATATTTCAGTCAATAATTCAATGTCGGGTCCTAGCAAGTCAATAGCCCTGTCGACCATCTTCACGTAGTGTTTGCCATGCTCAATCACTTGCCTGTTCCGTAACAAATCCTCGGAATACGAGTCAATGCTTCGTCCAAAGGAAAACACCTTGATGGCTCGTGGCTCCACTGAAAAGAATCTGATAAAGTCCCGCAAAGTGAGATAGTGTCATCATTTAGAGTATCAACAAAACAGATTGAATCAGTCTCACTTCTTGAATATCAGCACCCCAGCTTTCTCGTTGTAGTTTTCAATGCGGCGAAGAGCCTCAAAACTATCAACTACTTTTGCAACGGTATCATAAGAAAGGTTGGCGACCATGATTTTGTGTTATTGGTTCGTGGTTTGTCGAAGAGGTTTTTTATGTTTGATTGACTTTGAATTGTGGGCTGTGTGTGGCTGGACGTGGAGGTTTTGCGGAATTCGGGTTTGCTGCACGCTAGTTCGCTTTTCGGTATTTATGGCGTCAGACAAAATGCATCCAAACGAATCGTCACCATTAAAAAAAAAGTGGCAAGTCTGTACAGTTTGTAGTGACAGCAATCTGTCTCTTCCGCGACTTCTGCATTTTCCATCCCGAACGGCAAGGGCATGGGATCACGGCCGCAGAGGTGCGTGGGAATTATCGCAACTCTGACCTACACAAGAGAAATCTTATACCATACTAGATTGGCATCTTCCAGCATCAAAATATCATGGTCGAGGCTTCTTCAGTTGTCGCCATTTGTCAGCAAAACAAATTTTGGAAGGAACTTGACATCTTGTCGGCACTATTTACAGACGTTTTTCCAAAAAATTATATCATTTCACTCTTCAGCACTTCCTTTCGATTGAGAAATCAACTACAGGGTTGTGCTCAATCGAAAACAGCAAGCACTCAACAAGGTCTAATCCCGCTCCTTTATTATGAATTGACAATCTACCAGATATGAGACAGATGGTCTACTTTTTCTTTTCGGTATATCTCTTGACTTCATCGACCAACCAACCAACGGCTTCTTCTGGAGTTCCTTGCATAACTCCATGGCCAAGGTTCAGAAGGTGCTTGCTTCCAGGCCCCCCAGCTTTATCAATACAGTCCCGAACAGCCTGCTCGATTTGTTCCTTGGTGCCAAAAAGGATTGTCGGGTCAATGTTTCCGCTGATGGGGATGTCAGGACCAAGAATCTTTCGCGCTTCAGCCATATCAATATGCCAATCAACTGCAATCATATCAGCTCCCATATCCTTTTGGAGTTCGAGGTACGAAGAACCCCCATTGGCAAAGTAGATCACCGGGACATCAGGGTGCTTATCCTTAATGATCTTAATAGCCTTTTGGGCGGCAGGCTTTGCAAATTTCTCAAAACCAGCGGGGGATGCTTGGTGTGCCCAGGATTCAAACAATTGGATCACTTGTGCACCACACTCAATTTGATGACTAGCATAGTTACCAATCATTACAGCAAGCTTGTCAAGGAACATGGACATTGTCTTGTCTTCGCCAGTCTCATCTCGCATCATGTGCTTCTTGGTTGTCAAGCAGTGTTTGGAGGACTTGCCTTCCATTGTGTAGGCCGCCAAAGTGAATGGTGCGCCAACGAAGCCAATCAGAGAAGTGTTGGCCTCTTCGGCTTCTTTTGAGAGGGTGGACAAGATTTCTCGAATGAAGGGCAGCTTTTCATCGAAGTCCACAGATTCTGCTTCCGCCAAGGCTTCGACATCCTTTTCACATTCAATTTTTGTGGAAATAACAGGACCGACTCCTGCAACGACATCAAATTCAATACCAAGTGTCGGTAGCGGAGTAAGAATATCAGAAAACATGATAATGCCATCCATTCCATACTTTCGATGACACTGCAGACTCAATTCAATTGCCATCGAAGGAGTTTCAGATCGTTTTCGGAAGGCATACTTCGTCGAGTAGGCACGGAAAGCTTCCATGTAACGACCAGCTTGTCGCATCAACCAGACAGGAGTACGTTCTGTTTCTTCCCCACGTGCCGCACGGACAAGAATATCTCGATCACCAGGTGCTTGGCAGTGTTCGTGCTCGATTCCAACAACTTCGTCCACAGGAGCGGCGCTTGATCTCAAAATCAAGCTCGATCTACCGCCTGTATTCAGGGAGAATGCTTGTACTGACGGGACTACTGCCAATGCAACGAAAGAAAGTAACGAAAAGCGCATGATATTCAACAAGACGGATTGGTATGTTCTACAGTCCAGTTTCCTTGAATTTTCTGAAGATAGAATCGACATGTTTTGCTCCACGGGGAACCGGACTTCAACTTGGATTGATTCCAAGTATTCGAAATTGTGGAACAGATTTAGCTTTACCGGTACACTATGTACAACAAAGGTTGAATGTACTGTCCAGGATCAGTACCAGGTACCCTGGTACCAGGTACCGGTATTGGTACTGGTACTGTACGGCGATCGTTACACACTCAAGCTTACTCTTGCTTCATTGACGCTCTTACTCCTGGCTCAAGCAAGAGTATAGCTCAAGAGTCCTTTATTCTACTGTAGGTTGGTCGGACAGACCAGCACTTAGACTAGCTACCGGTAGATTGCGAAAAATGAAAAATGTACCGTTACCGTTACTATATTGGGTCATGGGGACCAATCCTCAAACCAAGCTGTGCATATCAAATGAAATGAAGTTGTGACGTGCCAGAAAGGTCGCCGAACCAAATTAAACCACTATCTAGGTTGATGAGTTAATCAGTAGAATCATAGGGCTGCATGAGGGTGGGTAAACTTTAGACCACGACGCTTGTTCCGTGTGACGACCTAGAACCTCCATTGCTTCGTCGCTCGACCTTCGCTCTCCATTGCCGACGACGAATGAGAAATTGGTTGTTGGCCACGTGCAAGCTCCTTCCACGTACGTATGCCAGTTGCATGACTGCTGACTCGGAACAAATGCACGGTTCCTCTCCTCCTCTATCCGGGACTCCTCCAGCACTCGCAGCACCATACGTATCGATGGTATTTACTGTACCAGTACCAGTTACTATCTGTACTTTCCGGGTTGAGAATACTTGTACGGGTATACCATATTATTTTATATTGTGAAGCAGCCCCAGCATCATTGCAAAGCAAGAATGATACAACAACTAGGTCCTATCGGTTTGAAACGTTAGATTGCTCTTCCTGGTGTGAGGTCGTGTCTTTGTCTCTGTCCGGATTCTTCCTCTGAGATTGAAGATTTTCCAGCAGTGCATCTCCTAGAACATTTCCTTGGCCCATGTCGGCTTCAAAATCCAGTTCGGTAGACGATAGAGACCGATAATGATTTAGTCGTTCCAATGTGTGGGCAATTCTCTTCGGTCCACACGGAAATCCATCTAGCTTGTTTCCTTTGAAATAAAAGAAAATGGAAGGAACCTTCTTGACTCCGAGACTTTTACAAAGATCTGCATTTTTCCCGTACTCGATCTCAGCTAGCCGTATTTCACCCATCCGAGTTACAGTGGAAATGTCGTCGATGGCCACCAAATTACCAATCTCTTTGCCGATGCGTTCATATTGTTTCCCAAACACTTTACAAGACTTGCACCAAGATGCATGGAATCTTTTATATCAGCGTGATGCGAAATTTCGGTATGGTGAGTTCAACGAGTTGGAACATGACATCAACAAGCGGCATCGTTGTTCGGGGAGAGCCAGTTTTCTTTCACTATGGACTCACTTTATCGCACAGAGACGCTCATCTTCTTCCAAAAAATGTTTGAATTCTTCCGGGCTATTCAGCGATATAATTTGAGGTTTAGATGGCACCATTGCTCGTTCTGCTCTATGATGCAATGTCTTGTACGGCAGTAGCGTGTGTATTCTTAAGTGGCAGTTTTTGGGTAGTGCAGTCTGAGGAACAAAGGCATGGGAAAACCTTGCTTCATACGTCAAAACTAGCAAAGTTGAAATAAGGAGCTTGATCATGATTCGAAATGACGATTTGACCTCAAAGACAAAAGACAATGTTGTTTCCTCGCGAGACACAAATGAGAATGAAGTGATGGAATAGGTACAAAAAAATTAGAATGTAAAAATCAGAACCCATCCACAGCATCTCGTCGACCTTTGACCTTCTCTTCCTCGCCGGCGCGGCACATTCAACATGCTTCGAAAAGACGCGCTGGCAGATGTACAATACAGTACCAGGTGTACCTGGTACCGGTGCACGTACCGTGTCGTATTACCAGCACACGCAATACATTTCATCGCGTGTACACGTGTACCGGTACCAAGTACAGTACTGTAGTATTTTATTATACAACCTTTTTTTTAAATACCTGCCAATAACGACGACCTGGAGAAGGGTGCATGATGCATTACATCGAAGTCAAGGCATCTGCTGCTCTTTTTTTGTAAAAGCAAAGCTGGTCGTCACACTCTGAACGACTTGAATTTTACTAGCATATATCATGTAAATTCCCCCAGCAAGCTTTGCTCCTAGATCCCAAGAAATGTGCATTACCCTGTTAGCATTTGTTCCTCATGATAGACGGCTGGCATGTGTCGAATCCGCTTGGTAGATGGGTTGTCAAAGGTACGAAACACCTCCGGATCGTGAATTGCTGGTACCAAAGAAGATTCGCGTTTGCGTTCACTATTATTTCCCGCTTCTTTTGGAGGTGTTTGCGCCAAAATCTGCTGAGACCAATCTTGCAGAAATCCTCCTCCGACATAGTTAGGTGTACCGACAGGTAGTGAAGCAATATAAGTCTTGGCGTCTGTGTAGCTGGACATCACATGGTGACAGGCTTGGATTGCATTCATTCGCGAATGTTTTCCCACAAAGACTCTTCCCACAGAAATTTCACTGCCACGCCTCGCATTCGCATCACCTGTCCATCCAATAACCCCATTTGTGACGATAGCATTGGCTTGACTTGCTTCGTTATCAAATCTTGCAATGACCCCACGAACCCAAAAGAGAGTTCCATTGGCTGTGAATCCAAAGCATGTCCTCTCGGGGTCGTCGCTCGGATGAAGGGGCAGCTGCACCGTGCGAACTGCACCTTCATTTCCAGAACTTCCAAAATGGGACCAGGCATGAGCACTGTGGTAAGCCGCCTCCTCCGCGTCGCGCTGCGATGTGAAGAGTCGCAAACAATCCAGTGGCGGTTGTTTGTGGGGCCCCGAATGCCAACAGCGTTGAACGATGTAGAAATCACGGTTCATTGTATCTTAATGCTAGCGAATGAAAAAGGTGCTCAATTGTAAGAATCTTGTCGCACTTTTCTTTCTCCTGGTTGAGTTCGTGGAAGCTATGAGGTTGCAGAAGCAAAGGATGGATTGATGGATGGGTATTTTGGTTGTGAAGGGAAGAAGGCTTCTTGTCAGATTTGCGCCAATTTTGGAAACACTTCTTCGTACGGTACACTTGCACCTTGCACTACAGTCCGTACCAGGTTCGGTACCAGGTACCAGGTGCACGTACCACTACTGTAGCTAGTCTCAACTAGAATCGCTAAAATTATTCTCTAATCCTCCATTGCACAATGACAAAAGCACTGTTCCTCGAGATTTAGATATTGTACGGTAGGAAATCATAATCTACTCAGGCTGGCTGTTTTCACCCATTAGGGTAGACAATGTGTAACCGCGCGTTATTTATATTTCTTGGGCACTGCTGCGATATCAAATAAACACTATCCAATAAAGCACCGGGATCCATTACTAGGTCGTCGCTAGCGCTCTACCTTCCTTCTTCAATACACTCCAAGATTTCTGCTGCCAGCGTGGAGTTTGCTGCACAAAAGAACGAACGCTTCATGAGGTCCAATGGTGCATATGGCGTTGACGGACTCTCAATATCTAGGGTTAAACCACCTGATTCGGAAAGCAACAAAGTCCCAGCCGCAAAATCCCAGATCTTAGGACCTCTGTTGGCATCCCAGTCACCTAATTCAAATCCTCCATCGAGTCGGCCACATGACACCCATGCCATGTTCAAGCCAGTACAACCAATAATTCGTAGGTTTCGAACCGAACGAGACAGAATGGCTGCTTGCATCTTTGTGTACCTTTCTACAGCTACCTTGTCTCGTCCATATCCTGGATCCATACTTAGTACGGCATTGGATAGAGTGGTCGTAGTCGACACGTGTATTGGGACGGACTCTCCATTTTCTGTACTTAGAAAAGCACCTTTGCCGCTGATAGCCCAGAACATTTCATCCGCATAAGGATCGTAGATTACTCCAACCTTTACAACTCTCTTGACAATGTAGGAGATGATTACACAACTAATTTTTAGGCGATGAACAAAGTTGGTTGTTCCATCAATCGGATCAATCGTCCATGTCGCCAAATCTGACAGTTCGTATCTATCAGATCCAGAAGATTCTTCACCAATGATCTTGTCGTCTGGAAAGTTGGCCTTTATTTGGTTGATGATCAATTTCTCGCACTCCTCGTCAGTCTCTGTAACCAGATCTGTTGTTGCTGATTTGGTAGTAAGCTTAACATTTCCAGGGGACAACGCAACGTCGCGAATCTTCTTTCCAGCTTGTCGTGCTGCATCTTGTGCTACCAGTAACACAGTCTCGAGAGATGATTCATCAGTTGCTGACATGATGGAAATGAAATACTTCACCGTTAAGAACCAGCACATGAGGCAGTCGAAGGGGTCATTGGGCGATCTTATGACGCTACCTACCGGTACGGTACCACCGTACAGCATGAAAAAACGATGCAATCAAATCAATTCTTAGATTAGCACGTCGCTAGGAATGTTTGAACCACGAAATGAACATTTTAAAACGAAGAGCACCATTATCCGTTCATATGTTGTGCCAACTTCTTTTTGTTCTCCTTTTGTGAGTGGAGCTTGAACTTCATGATATCCCCTTCGTATCTTGTGATCTTCTTTTGGTCGCAGACGTAGATTTGCTCAGCGCACTGGCTAATCAGACGCATGTCGTGAGAAATCATAATGACACCACCCTTGAATGAATTCACACATCTCGCCAAAGCATCAATAGACTCCATGTCAAGAGGGTTTGTTGGTTCATCAAGCATCACCAAGTGAGGCGTTTCGTATGCAATGATGGCAAACACTATTCTAGCCTTTTGGCCAGCAGAAAGCTGGTCCATCACCTGGCTTTGTTGGGCTCCAGAGCATCCAAATCGTCCAAGCAAAGATCTGATCTTTTCAATGGTCTCTTTTGGCATCAACTTTTGCTTGAAGAAATCAAGAGGGGTCATTGACAAGTCAAGCTTATCCTCAAAGTGCTGAGTGAATCGAGAAATCTTAAGATGCATATTCCTCTTAATTTGTCCCTTGGTAGGAAGGAGCTCCCCAGTCATCAACTTGATTAGCGTTGTTTTACCGGCTCCGTTAGGGCCGACGAGCGCAACTCGAGTCTGTAAATCAACACCGAAGTCGACCTGCGTGTAGAGCTCCTTGCCACCTGGATATGCGAAACTAATGTTTTCGACGGATAAGACAGGAACAGGTAGCTGTCCAGCATCTGGGAACGTCCAATCATAAGTTGGGTCTTCTTCTGGCTTCTGGGTTAGTCCAGCTTCGAGCTTCTTTTGCAACAACTTCTCGCGCGACTGGGCTTGTCGCACCATCTTCACGGTACCGTGACCGAAACGGGCAATGAAGTCCTTGATTTCATTGATGTCGCGCTGTTCAGCCTCATAAGCACGCATTTGTACCATATCCTGATCACGACGAGTTTGAACATAGGTATCGTAATTACCCGCGTAGTATCGAAGTTTCTTGTAAGTCATATCTAGGCGAACAATATGAGTGCACACATTGTTCAGGAAATCCTGAGAGTGACAAACGAAGAACAAGATTCTATCCCATTTGGACAAGTATTCTTCCAACCACAAAACGGCATCCATATCCAAGTGGTTAGTCGGCTCGTCCAAAACAAGACACTCCACGGTTGGCAGAAACAAAGCTCTGGCAAGAGCTACACGCATTCTCCATCCACCAGAAAATTCTCGTGTTTTCATACTCTGCATGGCGGTAGTGAAACCCAGACCGTGCAAGATCGAAGTAGCTCTGGCCTCAGCAGCACTTGCATCAAGAGCATCCAAACGCTCGTAAATAAATTCCACTGCAAATTGTGAAAACATTTGACAAATATGAGCACGGGATACATCGACTAGGGAGACGAAAGGGTAGACTTACAGGTATGTTGGATCTCAGCTTGTGTATCCTCGTCAACTTCCGCCATGGCATCATTAAGTTGTTCCGCACGCTTTTCCAATCTGGCAATCTCGTCGTTGCTTTCCATGACAGCTTCAAGAGCTGTCTTGTCCGTCGCAGGGTATTCGGAATCAAGAAAGTAGATATCCAGCGCATCTGGGATCGGAATGGCACGAGCGGCAATTGCTTTCATAATTGTCGACTTTCCACTTCCGTTGGGGCCAATGAAACCATATCTGTTACCGTAGTTGATAACAATTTCAGTTTCCTCGATGAGTGGTTTTCCGTGAAATGTGACGGTCACTCCACCCACATTGATATCACGTGTATTTGCGTGAAGATTACCCTTCTTGCTTTCATAAGTCACAACAATCTGATCTTGGGAAAGCTTCTCTAGGTCAGCCTCTCGCTTCTGCTCTTCCGACGCATTGACATCCAAAGCATCCTTTGCTAGATCGAGAGCACTTATTTTTTCTTCAACAGGTTCTTCCTCTCCCGTGTCATTTTTCTCCTTACCCTTAGGGAGCTTGCCTTGAGCAGCATCTTTCTGTGCTTTGGCGGCCTTCTTTGCAGCCCGCTTTTCAGCAGCCAATTTCTTCTTCTCTTCTTTGGACAATTTCTTTTCGAAAAGCTCCTCATCACCCTTGCCCATCGCAGCATCTCGGGCATCGTTATTCGCATTCGCATCGAAATCCACCTTACCATAACCCTCATCGAGGGCTTTGTTCAATGCGAACTCAGCCTTCTTGGCTTGTTTTTCGCTCCATTTACTCATTTCCTCTCGGTCTGCTTTATTTTTTCATATGAAAGAAAAAATGATGATGAATGCCACAAAAGTTCCGGTGGCGGAAAATGCACGACAGGGAACATACGTGGCCAATAACCAATCAAAACGAATGAATCTCTCGTTGACGGTACAGAAGTACAGAAATAAAGTTTGTGGAAGGACTTTGAAAGTACGTTCGAACCACCCTTGTTAGAACGTGTGTTTTGAATGATGATTCCTGTAAAACCGGTACATCGAATGAATGTTAAGGAATAACAGGGAACTACATGTAAATTCATTGATTAACACCAACACAACAATGGACCTTCCAATATCGTGTCAACTTGATGATAGGCTCGGAATGTTCCGCATCACTAGGGCGAGAGGAAAAACTCTTTCATCAGGAGGATTTGGGGTAGCGATTTCGACTGAAAATATTGTGAATTGCGAAGAAAAGTCATCGACAGGAGACACAGCTGTAGTCGGAAAAATCATCCAGACTACACATCAGTATTTGTTTGTTGAAGAAGTACTCTTCCTACACGAGAGAGGTCTTTTGGAATGCAAACATGCTTCGTCGTTGGAATTGCTCGACACATCACAGCTCTATCAGCTCCTTCCACCGCTGCAGATCTCTCTTCCAATTTACTTCGTTTATGCCCACTTGCGATCACAGGACTTTAGGGTTCTTCGCCACAGTACAGGTCGAATGAAGATCCTTCGAAAACAAGATGCAACAGGTGTGCCGGATTCCAAATTGAAAGAGTTCAAACGAACACTTCGAAAAACGCTCGAGGAAGCCCCACCACCAATGATACCTGACAATGGGCTTCAGATATGTTTTGATGTTTACATGCCAAATGCTAGTTTCTCGAAGCTTAATCCAGGGCTGCCTGACTTCCTCGTGGCAACTACATACTATAATGAGTCAAGGGTATCCTTTGTGGAGTGTCAGAAAATTCTAGAGCGATGTGAAGGGATTCGTCTGAAAGTTGCAACTGTTTCTGATTCAGGAACGGTCGTCATGTTTGGACTAACCAGCTTCGGTGTACCAGTATTTGAAACGAAACAAGATCCGCGTTGAAGCCTGTGTTGACTCGAAACCGCATCAAATCATCCAAATTCAACTACTTTTTCTTCGTTCCACTACCATTTCTTCTCTTGGTGTCCACAACAGTGACAGAACATAAAAAGGGCGAATGTGAAAGCTGATCTATTGAAAATTTGCAAGTATTTTGAACATTATATTCCAGTGGGAAGCTCGCGAATCAACCAGAAACCAGCGGGGTCGTCATCCTCGTCTCGTTGCACACAGATAAAGTGAAGGCCACTTAGAGCATCTTTTCCTTCCATGAAAGCAGCGCCTTCTTCTCTTTGCACATCGTTCAATTTAGCCATTAAATATTGCGTATCAATATCAGTCTCCATGATTAAGTTCCTTTTGCGTAGATCGCAAGAAAGCCCAGCAACTTCAGTTCCAGCCAGCCAAGAAGCCAAAGCTTCCGGACGTTGGGTGAGAACTACAACTCCTTGCACAAAGGCATCAGCAGGTAATGTGGGGTCAACGGGGCACAGTTTTCCAACACCAACGTTTTCTTCAGTCACGCCTCCACCAGGAAGGAATTCGGCAAGTGGAAGAGCAACGAAGGCGTATTTTTCTCCTCTCAAAGCATCTGGAAGCTTGATTGGTGTACGAACATCTAAAAATGATGGCCCAGTTAGACCACCAGCCATTGTTGACTTGTATCTTGAAAGTGAAAACATTTTCCTGTGAGAAGCAGCGGCGGCGGCCCAGCAGAATAAGCTGCGCATATCTTACCCTTCCATTTTGGGATACACATCGCGATGTCGTTCTTCTAACCATTGAGCGACTGAATATGCACAGCGAGACGGTTTTCCAACGACGTCCAAATCCGAAAGTGCAATATTAATCATGTTGAACATAGCTCCGCGGAAAAATCGGATAGTATTGGGCTTCACATCTGATTCTTCGATAAGATCTTCGATTGTCTTTCGCAGTTCTTTAGAATTCACCTGGTTCGATGGCAGCGTTTTTAGAAAGCGAAAGCTCCCAGAGGAGTCCGTAATCAGGACTTCCCACAATTTTTTTCCCCCAACAGCGACAACAGGCCGACTGTAACAATCCAATTCCCATTCCTTTGATGCTTTCAGGTCGTTGTTTCTTGACAGCTCGACGCCAGAAGTCGATGGTGTAGATTGGATTTTTGTTGCTGATGAGAGCGACTTTGGCAATGTGTTGAGCGAAAAGGAACTTGCCGAGTATCCTAGTAGGAGGAATACGAAGCAAACAGAAATCATCGTTTTGCGACAGAGTTCACTCTTTCTTTCCCTGTTACTTGGCTACCGGTACCTTGCAATATGATGACATCACCACGTGGAGAGAGACGATTAAAAAATATCCTTGACGGCCCCGAAATCTTTCGCACGGATCGCCGCGCATCGTGGCATCTTGCTGAAGACTGAAGACGGTTCGTATTGGTACCTGGTACCAGGTACTGTGCCGTATAGTACTGTAATATGAACATCATTAACATCCATATGCCGTCGCAGAATACCACCAGGATCCATGAAAGCTTGTACAGCATACTCTGCAATGGAAAAATTGCTCCGTCAAATACACACGCAGCGATGATGAGTCGAAAATGATATCGGACTGCTGCTGCTGGTAGCTACTAGTACTACTAGTATGCTCCTCCTCGAGGACACCTTCTTTTTGTCGTTCTTATTGGGTTTTGAACTTCACCGGAGCGACACAAACTATGTTACCAGGGTCCAGCTGTGGTCTCATTGATTTTGGTGCGCTGCAGCGCCTTATATAGCCTCTTAAAGAATCGGTCGGTCTTTCCTTCGTCGGAATATAACTCGACCGGGCCCACCAACCAAAAAAAATCCAATACGAAGCGCATCAAGGATCAACTGTATCTAGATAGTGCTACCTGTTGTGGTATAATCTTTGATTCTTCCAATCCAAGAAACATGTTGGTATTATTTGAAACACCAGCAGGATACTCTCTGTTCAAGGTAGGGAGACTGAAAATTGTGATTTTGATTGTCTATCGATTTGTTGTTCAATGATTCTAACTGCTGTTGGCTGCAATGTAGGTATCCGATGAAAAGAAACTTGCCAAGACTGAGGCCGATGATATCTTTGATACTTTCTTTAAGGATAGCAAGAAGGCCAACAAGTACATGTCGCTTTTGAGCTTTCAACCTTTTGAAGATACCGCAGAGGCTGTCACCGCAGCCACCAGTGTATTAGAAGGCAAGGTCTCAAAGACTCTGAAGAGTTTTTTGAAGAAGCAGATGAAGAAATCCGCTTCTTCCTCATTGGCAGTTGCAGATAAGAATCTTGGTGGTGCTATTAAAGAAGCTCTTTCTGTTAAAGTCGTCCACGATAACAAAACAAATGAGTTGTTCCGCGGACTGCGATGTTATATGGAAGAGCTGTTTGATACCGAAGGGGGGATGTCAGCACAGGATCTCCGTGCGATGCAGCTTGGTTTGAGTCACTCTTTGAGTCGTTACAAGCTCAAGTTCTCCGCCGACAAGGTCGATACAATGGTGATTCAAGCAGTCGGCCTGTTGGATGAACTGGACAAGGAAATCAACACCTATGCAATGAGAGTTAAGGAATGGTATGGCTGGCACTTTCCAGAGCTTCAGGCGCTGTTGAGTGATAACGCGCAGTATTCGAAGCTTGTATTGAAGTGTGGTATGCGACCAGATTTCGCAAAAACAGATCTAAGTGATATCTTGGATGATGAGACAACCGAGGCAGCTGTCAAGGAAGCTGCAGAGATCAGTATGGGGACAGAAATTGCTGACTTGGATATTATTAACATTCAAGCTCTTGCAGAGCAAGTCTTATCAATGACGGAGTATCGAGCACAGCTTTTTGAGTACTTGAAGAATAGAATGAATGCCATCGCACCTAACTTGACTATCCTTGTTGGGGAGTTGGTTGGAGCCCGGCTTATTTCCCATGCTGGTTCGTTGATGAACTTGGCAAAGCAGCCAGCTTCAACAGTTCAAATATTGGGAGCAGAGAAGGCGCTGTTCAGAGCACTGAAAACCAAGCATGATACTCCCAAATATGGTCTGATATATCATGCATCATTAATCGGACAAGCTGCCCCAAAGCACAAGGGAAAGATCAGTCGTGTGTTGGCTGCCAAGGCTTCACTGGCTATCCGTGTTGATGCTCTCAGCGATGAGACAACAGAAGAAGTCGATACAACCATAGGTTATGAAGGACGTGCAAAGGTTGAAGCTAGGCTGCGACAATTGGAGGGCGGTAGTATGGGGGCATCCAGCAATCTAGGGGGAGCCAAGACAGCAAAATACGACCCAGTTGCCGCAAATACTGGTTCCTCTTCGACGAAGTACAACGATGCCAGTGATATGGTGATGGATGATGCAGATCCAGAGACACCAAAAGAGAAAAAGAAGAAGGATAAAAAGACTCCAAAGGACAAGAAGAAGAGGAAAGCTGAGGATCAGGCAGACGAAGGTTCGGAAACCAAGACTCCAAAATCCAAGAAAAAAAAACGGAAAACAGATGATGATGATGAAGAGAAGAAATCTGCTAAAAAGGCAAAGAAAAAGCGGAAGTCGGTTTAGAGGCTTATTAATCTATTCCGTACTAGTTATTCGAACTACAGCATCGATCGTCGTTGACATTCGTATCCATGAATCATATTTTTTTATGCTATGAGAGCCGCTGATGTTTTTTTTTTAACATTACAAAAAAATGTTTCTGAGCGTTCAATAAACAACAAAGGTGTGATAAACAACGAAGATGCGTTCGAACATTTTGGGGACCGAAGGGGGACGTGATATTTCCGGGGATTTAAGATTTTGACTCATCTCCAGTTTCATCTCCCATTTCCTGGTCAGACAATACATTCCGTAAATGATACGTAGTCAAATTAGTCAAAATGATGTACATGTCATGTCAGGTCCAGATCTGCTGTTTGGAGGCATTGTCGATAACAGGATAGATTTGAAAACACTTTCCTATGTGTGAATAATTGGTTGGGCCACTTCTTCTTGGTAATTGATGCTGTGTTTCCCATCACTGTACCAAATGTACTGAATCTACGTGAAAGAAACTAAAAACGTCCTTGTTTTGAACGTCAAAATGGGAAAGTGACTTCCAGCAACAATTTCCCCACATATACTCTTAGAGGTTTTAAGTACTATTTTGGATTTTGACGAGAAACAAATTGTACGGTCTGTCTGTCACCCGAGCTATTTTTTCTGTCCTTCGTCTGCAAAGCAGCTTCATGGGGGAGATGCAGCAGGCGCAGAAGGATACATATTGCAGTACCGGTAGAGTGGCAAGAAAGAGACCACAGTTGAGGCTATTCTAGCTGCGTACGAAAAACTGCTTAGGAAGCATGGGATATATAAAGCGGCCAGCGCAGCACAAGATCTAACGTCTAAGTTAAAGATTATGGCAGTTTTCTATCAAATTTGGTTCAATTGTTACGTGAAACTGCAAGTTTTCTTCTCCAAGTTGGCTCTGCTCACATACTCCCGCACGGCTCCGCCCCGATACCTACCTACAGTACAGTATCGTACTGGTGGTAGCTCGTACCACCACCAGACCGATGTAAATAACTTTTTCATGTACCGGTATCGGTACCTGGTACCGGTAGAACATGGCACTGAGCACTTCAAAATACTGGTACACTTGTACAATGCAATGTTTATGTCATTTCTTCTCTCTGGGACTGGTCAGCTCGCTGGAATCAATTTTCCATCAAGCATCAATAAATGTGACACTAGGATTGACAATCTATTTATGTATGCGACATATGTCGATTGTTCGAAGGGCTTTTGTCTTCCACTCTTGGATTACATATTTAACACATTTGTGGATCTTGACCGGACTTTCACTTCCAAGAATATTGTCCACGAGCAAAATGACTGGTGAAAAAAGGCCCAAAGCGATTTCGGGCCCAAACATATTCCAGCCACAAAAAATTGTGAAAGTTTCACAACGAACTGCCCCATCAGAACAATACATCAAGAATGATCATCAATACACAACCAAAGATTAACGGATATAACGCATTGAGCCATCAAACGAGCTCCGAAAAAGCCTTTCCTTTCGAGATGAAGGTAGACACCCCAAGATTAGACGAGGGCGAAAGCGATTCACTGTGCAAATTCAACGTTTTACCAAAACGCAAACTATGCATTCGACTCCAGTCCACTAAACCGTTGGGAGGAAAGCTACACGTGAGCTTTGAAAAGATACTGACGCATGCTTCTGATGCCTCTGAACCTGCACCAAAACGCCGCCGATTTCAAAGGCGCAATTCTAAGACTGCGAATATGCTATCAATGTCCATGCTGCCTGTGCTTGCGTTGGATCTAGAAGATAAGGCGAAGACAACATCGTCCTGTCCCGAATACGACGATGACATCAACATTGCGGAAGATCTCGTACGGCATTTTCAGGCTAATCGTAAAAGAGCGCAGCAACTTGAATTCAGTTTAGCAAAGAGCTAGAAATTCAGTTTAGTGAAGAGCTAGAAATTCAGTTTGTTAACATCATCGATTGCCTCGTTCTAGTACTTTCTGTTTCTCTTTTTACGGTTTCGAATGAGCTTCTCCTTGAGCTCGCACTTATATCATATTGCTATTACTAAGAACAGGCTAATAAAAATAAAACAGTATTTTTGAGCCGTTGCTCTATACACCAAACTTTGATCTGTATTCCTTAACTGTGGCAAGCACGTCATTGCCATAGTCTGGACTCTTTTCTAGGAAAAGCTGTAGTTGCTGTAAGTTGACAATGGAAGTCACAGATACCGAGAGATCTCTTTCGACAGCTTGAACTGCAGATACAGGGTCCTCCAGTGATCGTTTCTCCGCACGGTCCAAGGCGATAACTACACCAACCATCTTTGCACCAATTGTTGTCAACATTTCGTGCGATTCACGGATTGCAGTTCCTGCTGTGATAACATCATCAATTACAAGAACGCGCTTGCCCGTCATGCCCGCACCAACCAGTTGTCCTCCTTCTCCGTGATCCTTGGCTTCCTTGCGATTGTATGCGTAGCCGACATCTATACCGTAGTCGCGATACAAGGCTGCAGCGGTTACAGCACCAAGCGAAATCCCCTTGTACGCAGGTCCGAACAGCACATCGAAAGCGACCCCCCCTTTTCCATCAACTCTGTGGAATAACAAAACCAGTAAGACGCATGTGATACACAAGACAATGCAACAAATTGGTGCACTCCTCCAAGGCATTGAGGTCTCAGAAACTATCGAATCAGCGAATTGGTGTTGACCGGCATTTCCCGAAGGAATTAGGTGAAAGAAGACCAAATAATTCATCATTGACCAAATGCAGCTGGAGGGTGTCAATTTCTTTTTCACAATTTTGAGGTCAGATGCTTGTAATTGTTTTCATCGCCAACTCACGTGGGGGCGGATCGATAACACGGACCAAGCTGCGGTGTTCGTCATTCCCACAATCATGAAAAAGAAATCGGATTCGAAAACGATAACGGTCAACTTACAGTTGTGGGGCTGCCATGATTGCAGATGCATAGGAACGGCCAAGTTTGTCCAAGGCTGCACCTGAGGCGAACAGACCAGCATTGAAGAAGTATGGAGATGTTCGTCCACTTTTCAAAACAAAGGATCCGAATTTCAAGACACCTTGGGAAAGACTGAACTCCAGAAATTCTTTCTGGTAAGGCTGGATGGCATCACCGGAGCTCGAACCTTCCTCGCTCTTGAGTTTTTTTCTTGTCTCATTAATCTTAACCATCAGTTCCTTGGCTGCAGCAGCGCGATCCTCGGCTCTGCTGATACCCCTTGACACAGGGATAAGCATTGCAGTTCCATTAGAATTCATACCCGCCCTCAAGGCAGCTTCTAGATCTCCACCTTGTGCCCCAACTCCAGGAGCCAGAATCCATGCCTTTTCGCCAGCAGCTTTGCGAGCATTGGCAAGTGCGACAGAATCCGTTGCGCCAACAACGAGACCCAACGAAGCCCCGCTGGAGGTTGACCAGTCATGAGCAAGCTTTGCTATTCTCTCGTACAGTTTTTCGCCATTGGCCAAATTCAAAGCAAGGATATCGTTGGAGCCAGGATTGGATGTTTTGCACAAGAGGAATGCACCTTTGTGCGCATAAGACTCTTTGAAGAATAGTTAGCATTTCTCGATTCCAGGAAATCTCTGATTGCTCGGTAAGGAAATAGAACATACCTGTTACAAAAGGTGCGACCGAGTCCCACCCCATGAGAGGAGAAAGCGTGACGGCGTCGGCTTTAAGATGTTCGTAACATGCTTCAGCATATGCAGTGGCAGTGCTTCCAATATCTCCTCTTTTCACATCAAGCAAGATAGGCACGTTGGAAGGTATTTCCTTGAGTACCCTCTCCAAAGTTGTTTCTCCTTGTGAACCAAGAGCCTCGAAAAATGCAGCGTTTGGCTTGTAGCATGCTGCATATGGCAACGTGGCATCAATGATCGTTTTACAAAAGGTAAACGCAGCTGCGCATTTATCTTCAGGGGTTTTCACGTCATCACTGCCAATATCTTTGCTATGTGGATCAAGACCAACACATAATAATGAGTCGACGTCGTTTACCCTCGCCTCTAATTTTGCAAAGAAAGATGTCATGCTGCTGAAAGATGTTTTGGAATCTTGAAATTGATGGCTGAAATTCGAAGGCCTAAATAAAAATAGTCGAAGGGGAAACAAAAGGGGAGATAGAGACTACAAACGTATGTGAGGGGCATCAGGTTAGAGAATAGCCCGAAACCATTGACCTGCCGGTAGCCCAAACAAATTATTAGTATTTCGTCTGCATGTGCCAATCTAGATACTAAACTTGAACCACATTGGTACTATACAAGTAGGTTTGCAAAGTGATGACAAAAACTGGAAACAAACTAAATAACATAACCCCTTTTTCGTCGTGCGTCTGCTGTTTGTCCGGCGAAGCGTTTGATCTCCTCAACTTGGACTATTTCTGTTCTTCCTTTCAATCGATGACGACTGACCAAGACGACTCTGGGACTGACAAGTGAAAAAGAGTATTGAGTGAAAGGAGAGGCGAGCATGACCATCATTTTCAATTTTACATCTGCCAGTGGTACTGTACAGGTACTGTGCTGTACCTGTATCTGGTATTTTTGAAACCATTACAGTATTATTAGAAACGGCACATCGATGATGGATCTTGACTTCCCAAGAGCCTTCTTGTTGGAAAGTCGAATATTACACTATACTAAAACCTATTACAAGGTGTATTGGGCATCATGTCGAAACGATTCGGCAAATTGAGCTTACTTGACAAGGTTGTCGATTTGGTTGTTTTCGTGATGGGTCAAAGAATGGATTGCGGAGAACAAGCCTACAATAACTTTCAAGTAACCTGGTCCACTACCACCCTATATTTAATACATTAACTAGATGCAACTGAAGAGACAGTTGATAAACAAAACTAGTCCACAATCGCTTTTTGGAAACGACAGAAATGCCATTTTGTTAACACCCAAACAATGTATAGGAGTACCTATGGGGCAGGATTATATCGTATTCAAGTATCATCGTCAGATGCGCTTCGTGCGCGCTTCCTATCAGGACACGTTACAGGTACAGTAGGAAGCGCGTTGACGCGCGTTATGTACCACAAAACATCACAGTACCGGTATTCATTGTCACGTCAGTTGTTGACTCGCAATACTTGTAATACATACTTTACTTGTAAATGAATCGATTACATCTTTGGCTCGCGGTACTAGTGGGTGCCCCCTCTCCAGTCGAAAGCTTCTTACCATCGGTGATTCTTCCTTGTTTGGGAAGAAAAGAAACAAATGTCATGACACCTCTGGAAATGGCCAAACGAAAAATGAGCATGGGAGAAAAGCGAAAACGTAGACAAGCAAAACAACAAACAGAGGTCAATAGCTTTGAAAATCTTCCACCTACCAAAATTGGTTACATAAGCCAGGCCTCAGCGGATGATGGTCAGCCAGAACGTTTTCAAGATCCAACAGAGGCAGCTGAAAAAGCCAAAGAACTGTTGAAGTCACAACGAGAGTCGGTGGATATGCTCACAATGACGACTGAAAAAGTCAAAGCGCTTCCGAAAGCAGAGCTACTCTCAGTGCTATCCAACAACGAGTTCTTCGTGGTGGATAACTTCTTGTCCAGCGAAGAAACTCTAGCTAGTCTAGAGGCCGAAGCACTCTCCATGTTTGAGAATGAAGAAATGGAGATGGACACAGCCAATCTGGGAGCAGGCGAATACATTACTGCCATCAAAGGAGGGAAAGACCAATATATCAAATGCCCCCGGTCGGTAGAGCTAGTGGTTAGCACGACCAGGCATATTCCAGAGGTGTTGGAATCTTTGTCACTCGATGGATCTGCGTGCATGGCAACCTTGCGGTCATTTGATCATAAAACACTGAAAGCCTCCAAAAACCTACTTTTGGGCAATGATGAGGAAGAAATTGATTTATCCGCGAAGGACTTTGGAAAGGTCGTAGATGGTCCTGAAGATATGCGACGACTGACACTATTATACTACATTGTTCCGACGACTTGGAGTCAAACTTGTGGTGGTGGGCTTATTTTTGAGAATGCAAGTGTCTCCGCCAAAAGAGATCGGCTAATAATATGGAAATCCGACTCTATATTGTTCAAGAAGGAACCGTGGAAAGGAGATGGCGATTCAAATACATTCGGAAGCTGGATCGAGTTGCATTTGGTTGCAAAGAGCTAGAGATTTTAAAAATGTCCAACATATTGATCACTGTACCAGATGGATCGTATTTCTGGTACAGTAAGAATAGTGGTGCTTTCAGTTTCATTCCACGATCATCATATCATTCGAACCCTGTATCCTGTATCTCAAAACCCTTGTTCTGGAATCAAAATTCTGAAGATGTACTGTACAGTAGTATAACAGTCTCGGGACAGTGAAAGTATATTCGAATCATTCGACTAGCCTTCTGCTGGTGATCCAATCGAACTTAGGGTGATGTTCACAATAATTCAATTGCCAGCTCTTACTTCTCGTTAATGGGAACTGAAGTTTCTTTGTGTTGTGGTAGTAGTGGTAGTAGTAACGGCAGTAACAGCAGTAGTAATGCAAAGATGGAAGGAGCTCAAGTGCAACAGCAATCGCAACAGCCGACCCCACGACAGCATTCGTCCGCAATCACGGGTGCCATTTCTAAATTGAAAGAGCTTGGAATCAATTTCCTTGCTTTGGACTTTGACCAAACCATTTTGGATATTCACACAGGTGGACGCTGGAAAGAATCATTGGAGGAGCTCTTGCCTCACGTCCGACCGGTCTTTGTGCAACTGATACAAGCAGCATTGGAGTACAACATCCAAGTGGCCATTGTTACTTTTTCCGGACAAACGACGATGATTCGAGAAACACTAGAGCACACTGTTGGTTTGCCAGGGGCCCATCAAATACCCATTCGAGGAGGAGATCGGTCATGGAGATATCAAGGCGAGGGTTCCTTGGATGGCAAACAGGCGCACATGGCCAGCGCGGTAGAAGAACTGGAGACTCGGCAGCCAGAAACAAAGATCACAAAGGCCACGACCCTGTTGATTGATGATGATAGAAAAAACATTCGATTCGCTCTTTACGATGGAACCCGGGCTATATGGTTCAATCCAGACAAACCACACAAGCTATTGCAAGACATATTGAAGCTAGCATGAGACGAACGAGATTACAAAAGACTTTTCGGCATTTGTCTGCTATTGCGGAATCTAGAATTTGTTATAGTTTTTTCAATAGATCTGTAGAAGATGTAGACTTGTGATATTGTTTTAAAATGATATCATCGACATGGTATCAATTTCATCTGCTACCAGTACCAGGTACCTACGTCTCATCAGAAAAAAAAATAAAAGCAAGTGGCCCGTCCAGACCACGCACTAATTGGGTTGATTTTTAGCGATTGCTCATCCTTCTCAATCGCTTTGGATTTCGCAGACTCCAATGGGGCCTAAAAGAGTTTCAATGATGTTTTTGGGCTGACAGTTGTTACTAGCTGTTGGCCCCCAATCCCGCCATGAGGCATCTCCCTTGGCCATTTTCGATTGTGACTGTGGCTCTTTTCGCCACTGATTGTCTGTGGGTCGATTCGGTCGGAAGACCTTGTCAATGTTGTGGCTGAGGACGGCTCGTTGATTTGTCAAGGGATTGCTTGGATGGTCTTGGCCCATGCCAACAAAATCGTCCACAAATACTTCCATCTTCTTCAATGGGCGCTGGTAAGTCAGTGGCTGGTGAGATTTTGGTATAGGTCTCACTACTTGTGCGTCCCTCACTTCAAAGTCAGTGATGGCTGCTGCCTTTCCCAAAGGATGCGGTGGCACTCGCTTGTTTTGTTGCAAGTCAACATTTGTCAAGTCGGCAACGGTTTCCGTGAAAGCACAGAACCATGGAGGACTTTCCAGCCAACCCATTGGAAGCACAAGTGGTAGTGCAACCAATTGTGGAAGTCCCTCAAAACGCGGTAAAATGACCCCAAGCTTGAGTGCGCCGGTAGTTGACAGTCGGATGCGATAGAAACCATCCGACATGTCGTTCTTGTACATGTAAACTGGCCCATAGTCCGGGTTTGCCTTCATGAGTGCCTCGCGGATGCGTAGTGGGGCCGTGCCAAATTGCATAGCTCCCTCTGGGGCAAGTTTCATTGTCTCGTTGTTGAGTCCCCAGAACAAATAATCAACAATCATCCGCAGTCTTCTGTTATCTTGTGGTATGCAGCCAATTGGAGAAAGGCGAAGTCCTTTCTCGTCCTTGATGGTGTCATATGGAAGTAGGATCCAAAATCCCTTCCTTCCAAAATCCAAAAACTCCTCCATCAGAAACTCTTTGAATTCGTTTGCTGATGAGTGACAGCCCTGAGCGACTCGCATGTCGAGTTGGCTCTGGCTCCATGGCTCCGAATGAACCACCACAGGAGCCCCATTTTTCATTACTCGGTGTAGCATTGGTGCGGCGGGGTGCGGAAGCTTATCAATATCTGGTGCAGCATCATCTGAACGGAATAAACGAGCAGTGACTTGCCAACCGTGTTTTAAATAAGTTTCATTAGCCAACGCAACCAGCTCACCTATAGTATTAGCACTACCTCCAATTAAAGTAGATCGTAACGAAAGTGGGTCCGATTGAGATGGCCTGCAAGAATCCGATGATTCCCGGCCTCCATCTCACTTATTCTTATTCACATAATCCTTCATTGCGGTTGCTTCCTCGTCAGTCAGCTTACAATGGGAATGCTTACGTTCACAGTTCTCCTTGCATTCGCCCTTTGTGTGCCAAATGAGGCACAGTTCCCTTCCGTTGGCGTGCTTTGGAGGCTGTTTGCCTGTCCATTTGATTAACTTAGTAGTAGTTCGTCCGGTGTAGCGATGTTCTTCGTTCACGTCAGGATTTTTTACTGATTCGCCCAGGCTCTTCTTCTTGGCCCTTTCCTTCTCTCTCTTCAGCTGACTCTCAGTCTTGTCTCCTGTTCCACCAGGTCTTACAGAGTCCTTGGCGACAACAAACAAGCTAGACTCTGGTAGGCTTCCTCCATGGTAGCATGTCTCCATGTAGGTGCCCAAGTCTGGAAGGTTTTTTTCTGCGTTCGTGCCGGACCTCACCAAGCGCTCAAAGTAACGATCAATTCAGGAATAGATTCCGAAGAGGAACCGCTCGAGTGCTCGCTCCTGTTGGGACACTTCCATTTTTTGTGCGATCGAATCCACATTCTTTGCAAACTTTTCGTACACGGCTGTCAGTGGATGTGTTTTTCCAAACACTACACGGTAGAATACCCGCATACCATTGACCATCTCATGGAACTCCATGGGATCCCTTGGGAAGATAGCGTGCTTGATCTTGTTGTGGGCTTGATGATCCTTTATTGACGCGGTCGTCTTCTCGCCTGTCAACCAGTAATCGCTCTTGTTGTAATCGTTGATCGCGTTTGCATTTTTGTAGTGCTGGAAACAGACACTATTAAACACGTTCAACCCCTTTTCAACGTCGCCGCGCGAACAAAATTCCAATTCCACCAGGCTCTTGATTACTCGGGCTGAAACGATGAATTCCAAATTGAGATTCAATTTTTTGGCCTCATCATCCAGCAGGGACTGCACAATTCCAATTGATTCGTGCTTCTTACACTTTGCTAGCTCATGCCAGAGGATGGGAAGCTGCGCTGAGGTCGTAGTACCAGCCACTCTCTTCAGATAGGAGAGTCTTGTGGGCCACTTCTTTTCCACTGTATTTGGGGGCACCTTGTCCGATGCTTGTCCATGCATGCCCGCTACCACTACCTCCGAAAGCGATTCCACGGAGGTCTTTGTTGTCTTATTACTCTCCTCCACGGCTGCCAAGGTCTTGGTGAGCAATTCGTAGGTCTTGTCGGGGGGATTTCCAATTGAGTCCTCCGAGTCCAATCCGGCGAAATCCGAATTGATTACTCCGGAAACCCAGCGTCGGGCAGATGTCGCAGTGAGAACAGCGGGTTCTCCGACGTTCTTCGAAAGCTGATCTCTCCCGATGACCGTGTTCGCCACGCGCAAATGATGTGTTGATCATCCATTTCATGACTCGTAGTGATTCTGCGGAAAGTGTCAGGTGATACAACGATGTACAAAACAAATATCGCATCATGCGAACACACTTCTTCCAATCAGACTCTGTAGGTACTCGAACTCTCAAGGCAACAATAGTAATCGTTTGATGGATATCCAAACGAGCTCTCTTAGAGACATACAGTCCCCTTGCAACAGTAGTATGAAAGATTTGACGGTACTCAGCATTGAGTAACTTTCCTTTCCCAGCTTCCAGTAAATTGCTACCAGCTGGTGTTTCCTGCTTTGAATCCTTGTTGAACTTGACAGGAAAATCTTCCAACATGGTCTTGATATAGTCGTCCATGCGGATTTTGACTGTTCCTTTCACCAAGAAATCCAAAGTCATTCCAAGATATCTGTGTATCTTTCCTCTGACGATTTTACATGGCTGGATCAAACCATATCTCATGTTCAACCACTCAGCAAATTCGTCATTTACTTTTGGATCCATGTGACTTGACATAAGATCATCAACATGAAATCTGATAGTTTGGGCAGGTATCGTATAATCTTGGTCAACAAATTTGCTTGCGTCTACCAGTTTCTACATACGGTACGTGACGGGAGCAGGTCCCATATCCAGGTTACTTAGATTTCAAAAAAGGCAAATCAAAAATATTGTTCGTCATGGAGAAACTCACCGATGCTACAGGCAAAAAAAATTCACGCACATCAAAACCCAAGTCGCAGCTCAAATACGCTATAACTTTGGTGACAACGAGAAGTAAGAGAGAGGCCTTGAACCATGGCACGAGGACGGCCTTCAGGAAGCAAGAACAAACCAGTTCATTCGGCCAGAGGAGATAGAAGATCAAGGAAGTACAAGAAACAATTGGAAGAAGAAAAAGGGGAACAACAACGACACACCGATATTTTTTCAATCAGAAAAAGAAAGCAGTGGATCCTCCCAAATGGACAGATCATCCAGTATGCAAAAAAAAATTGAAGAATCGCAAAGAATGCTTGCAGAAGTGCTTGATCACCCGTCAATGCCCAAAGGAAAAAATGTGCCTACACTTGGTATCATTTACTCTACATCCGACAATTGGAATGTCACCTATGACATTTTGCCTACTACAGACAATGAAGCCAAATACTACAGAAGGTCGATTATGCCTCCCAAAGGCACGCCATTGCAAGCATTTCTTGATCATGCGAAGGGTCAGTTTGAATGCTCTGCAAAGATTGTAATGCTATGTTTAGTTCAACTGATCCTTCTTTCCTTGGAATGCTCCCCACAAGCACTGCAGAAAGCTTTGAGTTTGTCTTCCCGCCACAAGGACCTGGGATGCATCGAGTCATGCTTTGTCGATTGTCACTGCAAATAGACAATCATGTCCTTTTTGGAGCATGGGCCCGTGAGGTCAATGATCTCTTGTGGGAAAAGTACTTTCAAAAGTGCAATCAGTACTATGAAGTCTTCAATGATTGGCTTGCAAAGTGGCCGTCACCTTCCTGCTATGACGGCACGGTGCCTTTGCATGCAAGGGATGGGAAGGGACAATATGATGGCCGACCAATTGTCCCCTACTCAGCATTTGGTGCAGCTGGGCATCATAATGGAATCATGATGACAGAAGGCCTGGCAAAGACACTGTTTCGGCTTGTAGAAGGCGGCAAGAGATTTCAATATAATCAGAATTCTTTTGCCGCATGGCACGATGGCGGCTTGCGAGCTGATGACACCTTCAAGCTTCCGAAGAAGGTGTATGTGACAACATCGGGAGGGAACCGGGTGAAGCCTTATGCTTCTGTACTGACTTTGCTATCACAGTGCGGAAAGATTGTTGCTGCTGTCTGGAAGACAAGCATGTCCCACGCTGCAAATAGGCTTATTCTGCCGGGACTTAAGATTGCAAGGGACCATGTTGGCGCGCCACCTTTACGTCTACTCCAAACAGACAATTCTATAGGGGAACAAGCACCTTACTATGAAGTATTTCCAGAACTGGAGCAGGGCACAGTGGCTCGTGCTTCACTGCCAATGATTGAAATACCGCCTGATGACATTGTTTCTTTTGATGTTGGCAGTGTCTTCAATGCTTACATCTTGACGCTAATAGACATCTTCATTCAGCATGAGGATCAAGAAATCTACTATGGTTTGGATACAGAGTTTGAGAGAGACAGCAAACTTACAGTATTGTCGCTGGCATTCCCTCAGTCATTGAGAGGATCAGAACTAGGAACAACAATCCCTATTGCCATTGTCATTCACCTACACAAGATTGGCAAGGAGCAGTTCCCTGCTGACTTAAAGCGCCTCTTGGAGCTTCCAAGTATGATTCCAACCGGACGCTTGATTGGAGGTGATTGTAAGAAGCTAGAGGAACAGTATGGTATTAAGTTCAACAGAATGATTGAGCTAGGTAACTTGTGTCGATTGGACAATGGTGAGCTTTCAAGCTTTTCCCTTTGCAACTTGATGAAAGTGTACCTCCAGTGCATGTACCCGATGAACAAGTCAGCTGCGCAGTTGTCTAGCTATGCAAAACCAACACTGACACCTACAGACAAACAATACTGCGCACTTGATGCAGTGGTCTCACTATGGGTTTTTCACCGGACGGTAGAATCATTAGCAAATGGCATTGGTAATCAACATCCAACTTTGCAGGTTGGGAAACGGTGTACGGTGACACATAATGCAAAAGACATTGCTTTTGGGCATCTGATCTTTGTTGGTGCCGGAGGCGAACAGATGCGGTGGGGTGGTATGACATTGGGCAGAAGGGACTGCCTTGTTGCTATTGAAAGTCTTATCGACGAAGACTTTGAACCAAAACGAAGGAACTCGACTTGGCCAGCAACTGCAGAGACAATGAGAGAGCTTCACAACAATGTTCCCAATTTAGGACTGGCAGTGGCTGCAACGCAAGTCAGGATCCATCTAGATGGCAGTGAATGCCAACCATCGAGCACACCTGAGATGCTACGTGAGGCCACTATTCAATCTTTCCAAGTTGACAAGAGCTATCTTGATGTGCTTCTTCGGAAGGCAACTGAGGCAGTACCAATGGAAGACGGGGAAGATATTGATCTGCTGGTTGAGGGTGAAGAAACTGTGAGCAGCAGTGGGAAGAGCAACAAGGGTGAGGCTGAGACTGGTGCATTGACAAACTCGCTGCGTGATCTTTTTCACCAGCTTCATTGCCTACCATTATCAAAAGAATCTCCGGCTACTGCACATGTTCTCCAGCTGGTTCTTGTTGCAACTTTGATCAGTGACAAAGAGGATTATGCAAATGTTGTTGAGGTCTTGCAAAACAAAGGCAAAGAGGATGTTGCTGTCCACGAGTTCCACAATCGTGGCTACTGGCGGGACGTGTTCACAAGAACTTACTGGATTTCAGCCCACCAAAGAATGCCACTCTTGTAGGCCTTTGCCCACTTCTGCTTGATGAAAACCATGTGAGATATTCCGAGTTGCCAAATGCAGGTCTAACGCCAGATCACAGATACTTGTCACATAAACTGGGGGTTGAGATTGCACCAATGCCTCTATCAACCAAAGATGAGTTCCAATTGTATACTTTCCACATCAGGGGGGTTGTTGCGATGTCAAGGAATCCAAACCAAAACAACTGGGATAATCTTGCAAGAAAGTTTCTTGAGAAGGCAAATGGAAAGACAATCTTTCCAAAGACAGAAGATCAATTGAAAAAATATTTCATTCATTGGAAACAGAACCAGTCCAAATGCCTCTTTGGAAAGGTGGTCAACATTAAAAACTCAAAAGTTTTCAAGCAACTCCAAAGCCAAAAGGCGTCCTCCATTTCAGTGATTGTGAAGGCTTCGCCGTTGAGTGGTGCCATTTGGATGTACATCTCTAGGAAGTCTTCGTGGTATGTCGGAACTGACGCTTCGTTGGTTTGGACCACGTATTGGAGCGGGACTCCGTCTCGTCTTGGCATGGTACGGAGGTAGTTCACAAACGTGGGGTGCCAATCCTCCCATGTGACGTCGTTGGTGAAGTCTTGAGGTAGTGCTTGTTGTGACATCAACTTGGAGCCATACACATATTGCTCGTGTGTTTTCATGCGTCGAAGGAGGTGGGCTGCATCAATGACTGGAAATTGTACTGTTGCTGGGTCCCGTCCCATGCGGAATTCGTCCCTGCACCATTGGATGAAGGCGCGAATATTTTTCTTGATGCCAGGCATCAATCGAATTTGCCCTTGTGCAGTAGTCATTCCTGCAAGTGTTTTGAGTTCGTCGTTAAGTTCGTCAATGGATACATCCATTGTAGTGTTAAAATCATCAGAGAATATTTCGTAAGCAATTCTCTCAGCTTGCGTGCGTCCTTGGAATAGGGTTGCATCGTTAATGCCACAAATGACCATATTGTCATGAACGGTGAAGAGAGGAGGGATGGCGGCCATGG